AAGAGACGCAGACATGGGCTCTCAGCACGATAGGATATACTGTAGCTGCGAAACGGCGCGAGCTATTGCGAGGCGGACTCCCGCCAATCCAATTTCCGCCTAAAGCGGGTCGAAACTTACTGTACACCTCCCTGTCTTAATTTAACTCCGACTCGGATTTGTACAGATATAAGCAAAACTCACTGAGGTCTTAGAGGTCTTGAAAGTGCCGGTTAAGATTGACGTGAGGCACGACACCATTGAAAAAGTGCGACCATTCCATGACGCGGCTCCAGAAGGAAATGCGAGCAAGAGAGTGCGCGCATTTCCTTCCCATTTCCTACGCCCAAGGATAAACTGGCCATGTCTGCAACGAGAAAGAGCTACGTTCATGGTGACAGTTATCGAGAAATTCCGCAGAGTTGGGCGCAGCGTCCGTTCGAGTTGTGAGGGGACAACTACCACCTGCTTCCCCTTCCCTACACCGAGTCAACCGTAGCCATTTCGATGTCGAGAGCTCGAACATTCGCATGCATCTGGCGGTATTGTTCTCAATAAAAGACGATGACGCAATACTGGCCGGTGAGACTCCTCTCTCTAGCAGGTGTTTGACCAGGTTGTTCCAGCACACATTCGCCTCAATTTCATTGAAATAGAACCTGTTCTGCGCCCTGGTCGAGCAGGCAGGGACATCAATAAACAGGGACGGCTCGAGCATCCCTGAGAATCTTTACGACACTACGAGCGCCGTAGATCCCAATGGTTGAGTGAGGCCTGAGACGTCGGGTACCAGCTGGTGTACGTCGCCGATGTAGATCCGACGTACACAGAGAAGTAGCATAGCGAGCGTAACCATACGGCTCCGGAATATGAGGTGCTTCGTCTGCAAATAGTAGCGTAAAACGTGCCATATGCTTCTTAAAAATGCCTTTACGACCGATGATGTTGATAAGAGATGATGTCGTTGCGAAGAAGACTGCGGGGCATGATATCTCATGAGATCGACCATATTCTTCGAATGCCGGGACGCGTATTAATCGGAAATGAAGCATTCCTCCTTTTCTTCTTCACACAAGGAGGGCGCGATCCTGTAGCCGCATTCATCATTGATACCTTGAGGTAAATTCTACCTCCAGGTAGTTAAATCACTCATTATCAGCAAAATTGCACTGAGAAACTACCTCAAGGTACTTTGTGAATACGGGTACTTGCTGATAACGAGTGATAAAACTACCTGGAGGTAGATTTACCTCAAGGTATCAATGATGAATGCGGCCACTGGTCTCTCAGCGATCTCTCCAGTGCCTCTCTGCTCCTTTTAATTCGCAGCATATGCCGCACACGGTGGAGGTCATGCGCTCGCCATAAGTGTCATCGAGAGACTTCAGGATGACATTCAGATCGGCCGCCGTAGGGAAGGTGTTGTCGGCGGAAGCGGCAACAGAAATGTATCGCACCAAGTGGACTTGGAAGCGTCGAGGCTCAAAAGGGTATGCGAACTGGGCGCCGTGTTGGTTATGGCCGCGAAGATAACGGACAGGCCAGCTTTGCACAGGTGGACGGCAAGGAGGGCGCCGACCGCGGTTTTGCCTGTGCCGAAAGCGGATTGCGGACATAGGATATTCTGTGAATCCAGGGGACAAGGCCGCCTGTTGGTCTTGAGCAATTTGACGACCTCTGAATCTGAAGTGGCTGTTCGTAAGATGCGTGACCATCGGCGTCTCTAGATTGGGTAGAGCGCAAGTCAACTCGGCTCGGCCATACATCGCATTCATAGTGCCATCTCCGCGGCCGTCTAATGGCACGCTTTCTGGTAACTGTGCTCTAGAGGTACACGCGTATGCGGGTTGAGAGGCAATAAGAGGCCTACATAGCCTAACACGGATGAATACTTTCCAGGTGTCTTTAACGCGACGGGCGCGCTCTGAAACCGTTCGAAACAAGGTATTCTGTGACCAATGGAAGGCGTGCACCGAGACCATTAAGGTTTCTGCTACAGGATCCACAGCGATCGCGCGCACCTTGACAAAGGCTAGAGTCGAGGCTCCATCTATCCATACATCTACAAGATGATGCAGTGTCCAGCCTGCCTCGCTCGACATATCGCGGAGGATGAATTCCAACCGGAGGGGATAAACCGATAAGCTTGCGAAGTCGTCCATAACCCAACGGCTTTGTTGGTTGTCGGGCAGTAAGGCAAGCGCCGCGATTCCTGAGCAGGCCACATTGAACCATTTGAGCATTCAGCGTCTGGCCTCGTTGGAGAACCTCGCAAAGTTCTTGAAGCGAGCAGTGCGATCTTCGAGCCAAGCCAGTTCTTCCATGTTTGGAAGGAAGACGCGTAAGGGGCGTACTCCCTCCCAGGGGTGCATCGGCAGAAACTCTCTGAGCTGACAGAGTTTGATCGCGGGCTGCGCTGGAAGGTGGAGGTTTGGAAAAACCATTGCGCTGAAGACATTGCAGCGCGCGTACGCCAGGAGGGACTGGTATACCCTGATGGTTAGTAGATCAAAGCGGTAGATACCGGCATCGACGACGACGGGCTCCTGAGCGCCTTCAAAAACTGCCTCAAAGGAGTTGACACTTAGACGATGGCTTTTGAAGGCCATGACGATGGCAATCACGCGGTCAAATTGCTCCCGGAGCTGTACAAAGGCAAAATGCGACACCCGAAAGAAGTAAGTCGAGGAGTTGTTTAGGCGGTTGTGCGGAAAACATGGGATCTTGTCAACGTCTCTTCGGGGTGAGCGAAAACCTGGTTTGACGGTTTCACGTCGTAGACCCAGACAAAGTCTTTGATCGCAATAGAGGCTTTGTCGAATTCCTCTTTCTCGTTGGTGATGTCAATCGCCCGAGACCATGATTATACAGTGGAGCTCACGCCGATCAGGTCCAGGCAAGAAGATGTCCTTAGCTTCAAGGATCACACCGGATCGCCATCCCAAGGAGACTACCTGGTACTAGATTGGTCATTTTCCACGCCAGAACTCAGGGCTGAGCATGTATCGTCGCGGTTCGTTCGTAGACGGCACTTGGAGTTCTCTGAACTCATCATAAGTGCCCTCCAACACATCTTCGACCGTTCTCAGAGTGTGATCACGGAAGGCGATTGCGTCTTCCAGATGATGCAGTTCAATAAATGGAAGTTCCTGAATTGAGCCACCGGCCCTGATGTCAATGCGCGGGAACAATGAACGGGCGAACTTCGTGTCGTTATAGGCTGAAGAGGAAAGGTGCCTGTAATCGTCCACTGGCAATTCTAATACGGCTTGAATGTTGGGGTCAATTAGCAGATTGTAGGGACGGGAATTTGCATCACGGTGAGACTAGCCAAAGCTTGATGAAGAAAGAAAATGAGAAGATGAATCGCTGGACGCTGAGGCCGACGAAGGCAATGTGACTGACTGGAAGAGGAGGAATCTGACAGCTATTACATGAATGTACAGATGTTTGTAGGAAAAGTTAGTGATCCTGCAGCCGCAACATGGAGAAAATCATAAAAAGGTCATGTAAATGAAGCAATTGGCCGCTATGCCGCTGAAACAGTCTGAAGACGAGTGCAAGAAGTCGTGAAGTCGAAAAAGTTGAATGTCAGCAGACCAGCTGCGGCTTCGAGTCCTTTTTAGCCAAGTGGATAGACCGTCAAATGAGGCGTCTGCAAAACTGACGGAGACGAAAGGACATGCAGCTGTTGACTTCGTCGTCGTCATCGAAGCCAGAATCACAAAAGTGACCCCGCTGCATTGAGAAGTCAGACAAAGAAAAGCTGAAAACGGAATTTAGCCGAAATTGAATGTTCCTGAAGAATGAACTGAAGAAAGAATGAAAGAATGAAGAACTCTATCTACTTTGAAACTTTCACGTTCAATGTGAAATGAAGTTACTATTTGCTAAAACTGAGAGCACTTTTACACTGGAGAACTTTGCCGCTAAACTTACAACCAAACGAAACAATTGTACATTAACTTTTACGTGTGCACACCTAATGACATGCATTAACTACTGAGGCGTCACATATAGGAACTAAGTAGGCTCTTGTTGAAAATTGTAAAGGTAAAGGTAAAGAATGGCGTCTTCAATACCCTCTGCGGACATACCCATTAGTGACCTACTCAGTTTATTTAACCGCTTTGGTTTATCTAGCTCGCCTAACACCTAGGTTGTATACTAAATTGAGGGACTTTTCTTACTGTTACATCTTTAGCATTTTCCTATTATTGTTCTCGTCCGTTTTTCTCGACGGTGAATGCCAGAAGAAAAGATGTTGAGAAGAGAAACATCTCTTGAACTTTCCGGCTTCTGGTTACTTTTTCATTCAAAGTAATTTGATTTCCTTTACACTCTGCATAGTTTTCTTGTTTATTTGCATGACTCTCAACAAATTATGATTTTATTGCCTTTTCAAATGATATATAATAGATATTGAGGAGATCACCTTTCTCTGAGGCTGATATGGCATCTCAGCGCAACGAGGTGCAAGAAAAGCTTCCAGCAAAAGTTTCAGACGTTAGCGTAGATACCACACCACAGCGCCTTTGCTGCAACTCCCATAGCTGGCTGCGGTAGAGGTCGGCTACCCGGGTACCACGTGCTAGGCACAGCTCTCCCTCCTTCCCTCTCCCATTTACAGCAGATACTGACTTAAAAACCGTCTCCACTAAGGCAATCCGTAGAGAGTGAAGGCCTCACTTATTAGGAAACCAACCTACTCTATCGATTGTATGTCTCAATCTATCATCAAGCGGAATCTTCAGTCGTTTCAAGCTTTATCTGTGATGACCTCAATTGCTGCGTCATCAAGTTTGTTTAGTACTTATTCAACAAGCAAAATATCGTGTAGTATCCAAGCAACGAATTAGACGAGATGTTCGAATCATGATAAATGTATAAGTAATCAACAAAGTTTTTGGCGACGCTCACAAAGCACACTTCGTGCACTTTTCAATACGAAACATCGCCGAATGATAACTACAGTTGAAATTTTTTTTAAAAACAAGTTGAACAATGCAAATTATGAGATTAGCACTGCGAGATTAAGTGTTTTAAAATGTTGACCTATAATTCCACAAAAAAATGAAGAGAAAACAGATTACTTTGGTGAGTGATGGTTTACATGCATGAGCGGTGAACAGCACAATGAAGCAAAATGAACAATTACATAGTTAAAGTGCCAAATCTATACTCTTACTTTTGAAAATCTGAGAAACTATGCTACGCCGTCGGTAATGGAATCTAGCTGATGTTATAGTATCGCTTCGAAGCACAACGCATGAGTGAAAGTCTGTTAAGGTCAAAAATTAGCATCGGTGGGTAGAAAAAATATTCAAATCACGTATTTACACAATTTAAGTATTTCAATGAGATTTACAACGACCAAATGATTAGTATATGTGACTATCATTAGTTTCAGTAAAAAACTTCGCAAGTGATCATACAATGAAAAAGAGCTCGATGGATCAATGCCTATCTTTTGCACATCAGCCTCACTCATCCATACTCGAAGATTCGTCGGAAACCACCGATTGGTGCGCCTGCAACATTCATTGGTCTTGCAACGTCACAATTCGTTTTGAACATTGCTGACAAACAGTGGCGATCCCAGGATTTCCGTCGGGGGGGGGGCGGAAAATTTTTTTTTCAAATGAAGGTGCGTGGGTGGCGTCAGCCAGCACTCCGAAAAATATTTGGGGGTGCTTCTTAAAAATTTTTCAGGCCCAAGACCCCTAAACTCTGGAAAAAGGGGGCGTGGCTGACGCTGACGCCACGCTCCCAAAAAAATTTTTTTACAAGGCTAATTTGAATTTTTAAAAGATTTCAAAAATTATTTTAATTATTTACAAAAGTAAACAAGTCATTTGCACATTTTTATAACCCATGTAGGTAAGTTTCAAAAACTTCGCGACCACCCCCCCCCCCTCACTTCGGTCCGCCACTGCTGACAAACGAAATGATTCGTGAGATGTTAGTAAAAGAGATATCGAATGAAGAGCAATTTCAACCAAACACTATTGAGGAGTGACCATTCATGTTACCGACCGCAAAAAAAGGGGAAAACGCTGAAAACAGGCAAAACAGTAGGAGCAGTAGAGCACAAGAAGGCTTTTTCTCCACAGAACAAAAAAATCTGAAGGGGCGTGACGTAGCAAAATTAACATTTTCCGGTTTTCCAATAATGTGCCTGCTTGTGATCCTAATCCCCAAAAACTTCTCAAGAGCTAATCCAAAATTCTGAAAACTCTCTAAGAACTATTTATTGATTACAAGCAAGAATAAGTCATTTATTCGCTGCAAAATGCAATAAACTCCAATGCTGTTGTTAACAATAGACTGCGGATACAGTTCGCGTAAGGCCTAAGGCATACCTCGCACGATTCTTGTCGCTGCGCGATTTGGCATAACAGCGAATCTCTGTATTTGTCGTTAATGCGTTTCCCTTGGTCAGAACTCAACTTAATTGCAAAAACTTATACAAGCTGCCCGCCTATGTGTTCGAGAAGCGCGCACGATAAATTTGTAGAAATCTGGCAAATCGCCAAGTCGCGTGAAAGTGGCGATTTGGCCAAATCGCGTGAAGTATGCCTTAGGCCTAATGCTTGCTAGAACTTCTTCTTTGCAAGAGTAGCCAAAAACGAATAAGTCAGTTAAATGACTTAACAAATTCTCGGAAGTAGCCTAAACATCCGCTGGGTTCGAGGCGCTACAAAGTAGGGCGCTTTACTAACGGCAACTTTACATAAATCGCGTTATACTCATATATACATATCACTAAAGCTGCGACCAGGTTGCTCTTGCGCCAGCTGGGTTTGATGTACAGGGCTTATCAACTGCGGTGTCGGATGCACCAGCATCTCCGCTCTCGCGCGGCCGCTTCGCCTGGACGCTGTACTTCTTTCGCGAACAGGCTCTCTGATCACTTTTCCAGGTGAAAGTGAAAAGGCGGAGCCTCAATCGATTGTTAATGATTAGAGAGCATGTTCGGGAAGAAATGCAGAGTCCCACACGGGAATGGAGATGTTGATGCACCCGACACTGCAAATGATAAGCTCTGTAGCTGTGACAGCGTTTCAGCGCCGAGGCGAGACTGTCCGGTGAGCTTCCACTAGAAATAACAATCAGCATGCGGCGCGCACACCTGCTAAACTAAATGAATCAAGCTAAATCCAAGCCAACAGTACCTGAAACGACGTGAAGGCGATACGCCCACCACAAGTTACTACGACGATGCCAGAACATGGAAAGTGAGTATCTCGAGAGGATGACAGAAGGGTAGAGACAACAAATACCAAAATCGACCCATTGATCAATGAAGAGATAGTGAAGTGTGATGCAAAATCGTCTAACAAATAAGTCAATCCAAAAAGTATCTAGGAAAACAGCTATGACGATAAAGATGAGCAAAATAATTGATTTTGAGATATTTTTTCTGCTAGAGACTGGATGCAGAAGTGGACAAGAAAAAGAAAATGGAGTTTATGAAAACTACGCCTTCGGGGAGCTGCCGAAAACTGATTTTTCCCAACTCCATGAAATTTGAAAAAAAAAGCACTTTGAAGTTTCTCAGTAACTCACGGCAAAGTCCTCAATCTCATCCCAAATCAGCCGCCGCCATTCATCTATGTTGGTTGTTTCCACTCCTTCGTCAAGATCTAGTTCTTCAGCAACGGGTTCATCCGTTTCATCGTGATATGCAGCAAGGTACTCATGCTCCATAGCTTCTGCAGCTGTCGGCCTAAGAAAGAGAGCAAATGAGTAGGATTCCTTCGTCGAAGATTAGGTACCTGTAATCGGGATCAAGCTGAAGCATTTTCTCTAGCAAGTCAACTGCGGCCGGACTAGCCGTCGAGAATAACCTTCTGAAGTCTTTGCGAGGCATCCTTGGCAAATTCCTAAATGGGTTGAGCTGCAAAACAACTGTAGGTCTGACCTCTTGCTTTGCACCGACCTAATGTAGTTTCTAGCTTCCTCAGACTGGATTTTTGCCAAAAACTCCTCGTCTGGCGTTCCCACCACATTCATTATTCGCGTAAGTTGATCAATGTCTACAGGCAAGACATCTTACCCTCACAAGCAGAAAGCAAACATGAACTTACGATCGGAGCCGGGGAAAAGCGTTCTACCGGTGATCAATTCAGCCAGGATGCAACCAACAGACCAGATATCAACTGTAATGGAAGGATAACTTCAATAAAAGCAGTAGAGATATGTAAGTGATCTGTGCCGAATCGTCAAGTGAAGAATGAAACAGAATAGATGAAAACTGTACATCCTATGAGCGTGCGCCGTAAAGGAGATCAAACTTTGTGTAAACAAGTAAACGAAACAATCCAGTTCCTTATTCTTGTTTCTACTTCAAACTGAACCTGAATAAATATGATCTTATATTGCAATTTTTGTCTTTCTTTTTAAATATGAGATAGAGACAGATAGGAGATAGATAGATATGAGCACGAAAGATCTGAAATTTCACCATACCTGTCTGTGTGTAATGCATCCAGTTCAACATAATTTCTGGTGCTCTATACCATCGTGTCGCCACATAACCCGTCATTTCGTTGTCCGTTTGTCGGGCGAGGCCAAAGTCAAGTATCTAAAATTCGTACGATCTCGAAAAATTCATGGAGGTAAAGGAAATTCATAACATGTACCTTCAACTCACAATCCTCATTGACAGCAATATTCGATGGCTTAAGATCACGGTGAATTATGCCAGCAGAATGAATATACTGAAACTTGTTGTGCAGTGGGCACAAAAGTAATCAGAAAAAATAAACGCTACCTTCAACCCACGTAGTATCTGATACACCAGAAACTGTATGTGTTCGTCATTCAAACGCTGAATTTTGAGGATGTTAGAAAGGTCTGCTCCCATCAGCATGGAAACAAAATATCTAAAGAACAGCTTTGAAGCAACCATTTTTCAGTACTTCTCCAGTTTTCAAAAACGTTGCGAATGCGTTAATAAAGGTGTACTGCTGATATAATTCATATATTCGACTATCACTTATCTTAGCAAAAAAAACTAAATGCCCATCTTTTGATTTAACCAAAAACAGCGAAGAAAATTAGGGAAGGTTCCTCTTGACACGTAAGCGATGACAGTGACAAAAAAACTTGTGTCCACAATCGCAATGAAGAGCGTGTTAGGCCCCGGACAGATTTCACGCGATTTGATCGTCGCGACTCAATCGCCGACATTTCCATTCATTTTCATTTCACATTCAAAAATTTCGGGCTGGATAAGTATCACAACCGAGATGCAAGTTGATCGGCATGGAATGATGTTGTAACAGTTGTCTCGTCGCGTTTCAGTCGCGACGATCAAATCGCGTGAAGTCTGTCCGAGGCCTTATGCAAGCTTGCTCTTTAAACAGAATTTGGTTCCTTTTAATGATTCGCAAATTACAAAACCTAATCCTCTTTCTGCAAGTTCTGCCCAAAGGTGAGCAAGCCTCCAATGGAGCAATTTCTGAATCAGTGTTGACGCTGATCCAGTTAGTCACTACAAATGCTGAGAGCAGGTAAATAATCATAAATCCCCTGAGCAAGCTGGACTTCGGTGCTAAATTGAGAGGTTTTCTAACTACAGTTATGAAAACAGGCAATATTGAAACGGTACGTAACGGAAATGCACGAATAGGAAATCCGATAAAAAAGCAAATCATCAATGAATGGTCAACGCTTGAACCTCAATTAAGAAGCAAGTGACACGAACTTACACATCAGTTAACTGCTCACAAGATGCATCGGGGGTAAATACGTCCAACATATCAATGACATTCTCATGTTCCATACTTCGGAGTAGCCGCAGTTCCCTTGAGATGTTTGTTTGCAAAAATTGAATCTTCTTACCGAATCTGTACCTCACCTGTAAGTTCTTCTCGCGTGAATAACTGACTGGAAAGGGCGACTGAATTTCTTGATCGCCACTCGAGTATTCGTTCGCAGACATTCTGCCGCACTGCAATCAAAATCTATACTTACAACTATGAAATGGAGTTTCTGCGGAAAGACAGATTCTTGGGCAAGTCCATAAACAAGCTTTCACTCGCAGTTATCATTAAAACGACAATAAGGAAATCTGACCAATACAGTAGTAACAATGATAGCAAATGCAAAACGTTGACACGCTGCTAGCCTCGCAATTTGCTAAGAGATTCATCGCACCCTTTTTAACAGCCTGCTGAATTAACTGCATCAAACATATGTAATTGTATGCAACATGCTTTCGCCCACACTACTAGAAACCTAATGGAATGACAATCTCGGATTTGAACAGAAACGCGGGATGATATCGTTGCAGGACATGGCAGCAAACATCGCTGACGAAAACCCCAGCTCTGTTCTAGGATCTTAAAATGTTTCCAATTGTAGTAAGGCAGATTTCCCTGATGCTTCCACGAATTCATTGATTTGATTTACCATGCGTGAGCGCAATACGTAAATAGCATAAAAACAATGGTAGACCTCCGACAATGTGAAAGTAAATGGGCAAAGCATTTCACAGTGACTATCTAGCGGCAGTAAAAGCAAGCTGTAGGAACGCAACAGCCTGTGCTCTGGCACTGGGCACAATAGGACTCTTTCTCCTCCACATGCAACAACACCTTCATCAAACAAAAAAAGTTATTCAACCTCCTCTGGCTCCGAAGCGCTTACTATATTTTACTGAGATCAATACAGCCTTTGAAATCCGCAACAATCCCCTAATTTCTCTTAACTCACCAAACTGTTCCATAAGCTCCTGTTCCAATAGGAGTCAGGTTTTGGTAGTACACCGGTACTGCCCAGACTGTGCGATTCAGTTCGACTGTGTAGTAACCCGGTTTCACTTCCCTTGGCTCACCCTCCATAGATAGAGGTTATGCTCTGAATGGAGCACTAACTTGATTACTACTTTAACGGTAAAAAATTACTAGTATTATCTGCAAAGCAACACAAAGTCAAAATCAGTTTTCGAGTGGTAATTACAGGATTCAGCCTACTTAAACGTTGTCTGGAGTAAAGTAAATTTTATTTCAATTATATCACAATCAAGACGAGATCGTATTACAAGTGTTAAAAGGGAGAGATCATATAACCACAGTTCAACACTGCTTTTACTAATGGACAAAAAACAATTGCACACATTTACCAATTAGATATCAGAAGCGAGAATGTCTTTGGTTTGATGAAGTAACGTTTATAGCATGCATGAAAGAGAGCGTCACATGAAGAGAAATTGTTTGGAGCGGGAAAACATCAATTTTATAAGTATGAGTTGCTGCAAAGACGTACACATATAGTTACTTTTGCAGACGATATGAAGCACAGCAAAAATGAGAATCTACCTTGGCACTGCCCAGAGTACGATACGAATAGATAGGTCAAAAAGCTATTTGCATTGAGGGTGACTTCGAGAATTTGGCAAAAGTGTGATATATGATGCGATAAATATTTGATTAGCTTTCTGTAACACCTGTTTATATAATTTTGCATACAGGGCATGTCTCACTTCTAGCGAAGATTAAGTTTCAGCGGATGAATGACATAGATTAAAAAGTTGAAATCTGAGAATGTACCTCATGCAAATCGAAGACATGGAAGCATTATATTCAAAAGGCTTGAAGCATTCATGCAAAAAGCAATAATTTTATCAAATGCGACAGCTCTACTATGGTCTCTCTATCAATCTTCAGCACTCCTCGATTTCCGTTAAAACAATTTCGTTGAAAGCATGAGCAACAGAATTACAGACTCAAAATGTTTGACTAGAAAAGAAATGACAAGAATCTACTATAGCAAAAGCAACATCTGGAAAAATTGAAATTTCGCAAACAGTTTTCCAGTTCTAATCAATCAAGTACTTCGTATGAACTATAGCGACTAGGAGCATAACAACACGTTTCTCGCACGCTTACAGCACATTTTCGCTCGTCGGAGCCTAATTCATGAACAGAAGTACATCGGAATGAGATAAGTATGACCTACAGATATAAACGCAAACAGAACATAAGTGATATGTGAAAACATTACGAGCAGGTACAAAGCGCAGTATTTCAGATTACCTCCCTCCATATTTCCGTTACTCCATTCATTCTTTATAAATGCATGGGAATTTCGCTCTTGATTAGCTCAAATGTTCAATCAGAGTTTTCAGGTGTATCCCTTTGAGGGCAGGTCGCTTTGAAAATTTGGATCTCCTCCCAAATCAGCTCTGCAACATGTATAGTTGTTTGAGACCAAGACAAGTTGCGACTTACCTCTCCAATCATCCAACGTGACCGCAGACTCTTCACTCGCTTCTATCTCCACTATATGATCGGCAATTGGTTCTCCCTCAGGATAACGACATTCTCGCACATATGGATGCTCCAGTGCTTCAGAAACGGAGATCCTGTCGATGAATAAATGGAGGAATGAACATGGGATTAGACTAGACGTCTACTACCTCTCATCGGGATCTAAAGCAAGCATCCTTCCTAATAAATCGACAGCTTCTGCTGATGCATTTGGCAATATGGTAAAAAAGTCGACACGAGGCATCCAAGGCAAATTTCTTCAAAAGTTATGATCATCATTCCACAAAAAAAAACAAGATAAAAACAATCTCGACTGCTGCGCTGACTGTCAACGCACTAAAGATACAATCTGAGTATGAAGTTGGCATTCTGCATTAAGCGAGTTGCTCCAGTCCGATGAGACTCAAACATCATCATATGTCAGCTAGTAGCAAAGCACTTCGGAACTTTAAAGCGCGGAAACTGATGCTTAGGACTTCAACGCAGCTGCTTACGGCTGTTAGCTACAATGGCTGTTGCCGCTTCAGAGTGCAAACTGAAGAGGGCACGGGATCCAGGTACTATTTTTTTCGACATTTTTATTCGATATCTATTATACCAATGGCAGTCCCAGGATTTCCGCTCGGGAGGGGGGGGGGGGGGGTGGGGGAACAGCAAAGCTTTTTAAAATGAAGGCAGTACAAAAATTTTTTGGAGTGCTTCTCGAAATCAAGCCCATAACCCGTTTAATTTTTGAAAATTTTCTAGAAATCCATTATGCAGAAAGTTTTCATCAAGCACATACTTTAGGACAATCAATGAATAAGGCAAGAAAGTACTAAGATTACCATTGTACGTTAAATTTCTCTTGATCACTATTAAGCTAACATAAATCATATTTTCTGCAGTTTTGATTTAGAAAATTTTCATGGTAAACTAAAGTATATAGCCTCAGCTAGGTACTTGTAGACTCTGGATGATTCACCACTAAGGACGAATAAGAAAATAGTGGTAAAAATACTAGGTAACGTAACGCACAGATCAAAACAAGGCAGATTATTGAGAAAAAGCGAATCAGGCATGGGATGAGCGCCAATCTGGGCTTATCCTCCGTTCCAAAGCGATCTCACACGCAGACTGCGTGCACCTAACGATGCTGCAAGTCTGTGCTCTATAAAATGTTAATTTTATCTACACCTCAGAACTCTTGCTATCAAAAAGAACTTGCTTCAACACTTAGAACTATATATGCAAGTCGAAATTTGACAATATGGTAGCGTTCAATGAACATAACTTAGGGCTAGGAAATCATACACCATGCCATTAGCGATGTCTAACAGTTCAGAAACTTTAGTAATTATTGCAAAGCTGATTTTTCAACTAAAAAAAGAAAGTGAATCTTTTGAGATGCTCTTCTATCCTTGACTATGGGACTCTATTCAAATAAAGGTAGTATGGGCAATGAAAACGGACGCTGCCCTGCTTACATTGCACATATAAAATAAACGTGCTCTAGCATAGCATCAATTGTCCTCACCCATCCAAATATGTGTGAGAGATAAACATCTTTGAAGCTTCGAAGCGATGGCTCAGGCAAAAAGGACAATTAATAAAAGCAGTTTCCCAAATGACTTGCACCTAACCGTAGATTTTCACAATCCCCTAAAGCGGTAAGTAAAGGGTGTAAATGGAAGAGTGTAGTGCTCGAACACCGTCATACGTGTAAAGAGAAACTCCACTAGACCTTGCGTTGCACACATATCCCAAGATCAATCACCATTAACCAACACGAGAAAAATCCATAATCATTACCTTATATAGTTTCGTGCCTCTTCAGACTGTATTTTTGACAAAAAGTCACAACTGGGTGTTCCTACGACCTTCATTATGCGAGTTAGTTGGTCGATGTCTGCAAAACTTCAAAATAAAATGGAGAGCTTACTTGTGATAGATAAATTGAGACAGAAAAAAACATCTGACTAAAGGTACAAGCCATAAATTTTGAACTCGCACCTTCTACAGCATACGTTGGAAAATTGCTTGCTTCATGTAAACTGTACCCACAATAAATGACCATTGAGGTAAAATACAACTTACGGTCGTCGCCAGGAAACATTGGTTTTCCAGAAACGAGTTCAGCCAAAATGCATCCAACTGACCAGACATCGACTGAAACATGATCGAGGGGAAATGCTGCTTGAAAAAAGTCATGCGCAGAAAAAGGTTTGCTCAGTAATTGGAATGCCACTAGACGATTAAGTAAAGATGGTTAGAAGATAATGAACAGAGACCAGGTTAGAAAAAAAAACATGATAACGTAGATTGGATTTATTATATATACAGGGTAGCGAAAAAGGATTGATGTGGTCAGAGGCTCACACATTGACATCATAGTTGATGTTTTATAAAGTTAAAGGTACTGCGAATAAGACAGATTATTTCGAAGAGATTGGAGATCAAAACATGAAGCTAGAGAATAAGAACCCAATAAATGCAGATAACTGCAACTTCATAGATATTTGGCAGACGCTCTGTCAGCAAAAGCAATCAAATTCAGCACTTCTGTAAGCGGATTAGCCTATCACCTGATTAGACTCTATACCTAAAAAAAAATCATGCGATTTCATACTTTATTTCCAAGCGCGTTTCACAGCAAGCTTTTGTAACACCCATCTAGAGGAGGGTGTGCTACCCAAACATAGGTATGTCAGATATTTTTTTGGTGAGGAATGTTGATTGACATAATCTTGTTCTCTCAGACCAAAAACGACATAGTAGCATTTGTTAGTAGAAAAATTTTTGAGCGCAACAATATTTCATACCTTCATGTTATCTTACATGTATCTGGTTCAACTTCAAGATGACTAATGCCGAAGCATGATCTTGGATAAGGGACTGAAGGAACATCTAAGCTGCTTTTACAAGGACATTTTTAGTAGACGTGGCCTCTGGCATGAAATCCGTACCATTGGAAGAGCTTCGAACGCTCACTCCAAATTTGTTTTAACTATCTGTATAAAAGCCTCCGGACACCGAGTAATGAGAGTTTTTGGACCAAAAAATTCGCAGAATTCAGGAAAAAGCAATTACTACGGTCGCTCCGCTCCCCAAATAGAGCAGCGTTTAGCACCAGTATACTACACAAAAGATATCCATTACAAAACGAACCATTTGTGCAATTCTGGAACATTTTGTCTTAATTGCACAATCACCTTTTGAACTCAAAGTTTATAACTCGTCATCCAGGAAGCAAAAAAAAAACCAACTAGCGTTCGAAACTCTACAAAATGGTAAAGAATTCATTTGAAAAGGCCACTTCGACTAAAAGCAAATCTCTTTAGCTGACAGGGTCATGTTGAAAAATTTCTTCCGAGTTCCCGAAGTCCAAGAGAAGAATAGGTTCTAAACATAAATCAGTTTCTATAATGTACCAACCCGTCTGCGTGTAATGCATCCAGTTCAACATAATTTCTGGTGCGCGATACCACCTCGTTGCCACATAGCCAGTCATTTCGTGGTCAGCTGCGCGAGCAAGTCCAAAATCAAGAATCTGAACGATGCGGATTCAGCATGTATACGCTCTTTGGAAATTTGTTTGAAAATGATCTTAATTGATTTCATTCGCATATTCCATCTCAAGACCGAAAATATTGTCCACTTGCTGTTTAGTCGAACTCAGAAGTTTGGCTTTGTGATGTTATTATCTTAGTGAAAGAGCCACTTCATGATATCACTACGCGAAAGTCACTCAAATAAGCAATGAACACTGATAGTAGATCACGATCACAACCTCCAACCTAGGAAGGAAGATAAGTTAAAGGAACCTTAACATCTCCCACTTCATTGACTGCGATATTTGATGGCTTCAGATCACGATGCACTATGCCAGCTGAGTGGATATACTGCAGAAAAATTCTTATAGATTTTCAATCAACATGCGCGCAGTACCTTCAACCCTCTCAGAACTTGATAGATCAAGTTTTGAATCCGATGGTTCGGAAGGCGTTGTATTTTCAAAATTTGTTGCAGATCCGATCCCACGAATACCGAGACAAAATACCTGACCAATGCATAGATTAATAAAAATAAAAAAAAATACGAAAAGCTCGATCTTACACATTGTTCAATAGGGTTACATCAGGATCTGGAGTAAACACATCAAGCATGTCTAATACATTTGGATGCTTCAAAGTACGCAGAAGCTTCAACTCTCTAAAAGCGAGAGAATGTAAGAGTCCATAACAGTACAAGCGAGTCGAAAAAAACTTACCTATAAGTCCTCTTGGCATGTATTGTGCTCTGAAACGGGCGACCAAACTTCTTCACTGCCACCCTTTCTCCGGTCCGCAGATCCACGGCAGTGCTGCATGTTGCAATATCTTCAGTCAGCAACATTTATTCATATCAAAACATATTTCTTCACAATTGATATAAGGCTCAGAGATTTGTCCCGTACGAAGAAGGATGCCTACACAGGATGCGCGCACTGCACTGGCGAACAAACACCAGCAGTAGCTGAGCTAGTTTCCGCTCTAAATTTTTATTATATTTGGACTTCCCCGGTGTTGAATCATAGTCTCTGATTCGATGCTTCCGAAAACGTTGACAAAAATCTCTTATGGCGCTATAAGCGAGATTAATGATGAATGCGTCAAAGGGAATGCTCCCAGAGTGGTGGTGAAACAACGCTTCGCACCCCAAGTTTTATCATATGAGCGGGATATTGTAACGTGTCGCGGCGTTTCCAAACCCACAAGCAAGGGGCCATTCTCCCTCTCACAACGAGGATGTGTACTTTTCCCCAGAGCTTCGCGTTCGAGGTTTTTTAACGCACTTCAAAGCTGTGTAGCGCACTTCATTAGCTGTCAAATGTGCTTGTCACATCCAGAAGCGCCTACAATAATGAAAACTCCGAAACCGAAAAACCGGCCACTGCCTCAAAAGCACAGACAAGCGGAAATTTGTTTGAGTAAGGGAGCTTGTTGTTTGAAAAGAACCATTATGGCCCCTACGAATAACCAAACCTAGAACTACTCAGGAAAAGCGCTTAATAAGTCACAATAGGGAGAAACTGTAGATAGAATCAACCTACCAAACCACTCCATACGCGCCTTCTCCCAGAGTTTTGAGGTCATCGTAGATATTTGGAATTACCCATCTCGTTCTGTTCAGTTCAACCTAAAAACTCAACGAGAGAGTTTGAGAAGAGCAAACGTGACCTACCTCATGAAATCCTTCCGGAGGTGGACGTTCAGGCGGTGGAGGTCCGAAGTTGGCAAAAAACACTCCTGGTTCAGCGGATGTCATTGTCAAAACCCCTTTCTTATAAGAGGAGCACATCAGATTGCATACACTCCACTACTTTAGCAGTACATCGAAAAACCTGTTGATGCCATGTGAACCCCACCATCCTCCGACACTTCACCTACAACAACATAAACTCTTTCGACGATCGCGGACACTACACAAAGGGATCGTTCAGACCGCGCCGGAACCCGCCCCCGCCCGAATACGTCCAAACCCGCCTGAATTGCCAAAGCGCAGCAGGTTGCATGCAAATTGACATATTGGAGCACGCGTGCGATGGATCCTTTTAATATCGGAGTAGCTGCAAAAGAAGATTGGTATGGCACCCGCCATATTTGATCCGCTTGGTCCGCTTCGTGCAAAATGCGCGCATAAGCAGTTTATCATTTGGCGTCGCGTAGGCAAAAAGGAATTTCGTATGGTTACGCAATTTGGCTGTACGCGACGCCAAATGACAAACTGCTTATGCGCGCGTTTTGCACGAAGCGGACCAAGCGGATTAAGCGGATCAAGTGGATTAAGCGGATCAAACGGATCAAGTATGGCGGGTGCCTATGTAAGGGGGACGGTTAGGAGGTACGATCGGCGCGAATTTTTCGCGAAGCGATGCCGCAACGTACTTCAACCCTTACAACAGCAGCATTTCTGGCGCAGTCTTACTTATAGCATCAAGTCATGTATCTGCCCCCACCCTCACGCCCCTGCTTTTGCCGCCGGAATCTCTATTGGCGGAGAGCCTTGGAGGCCCCAAGATTTGGGCGCGGCGTGTGCGGAAGAGCGGCCGCCGCGCGCGGCGTACCTCCTAACGTACAGCCCCTATGTAACGTCGAGCTACGTGTGACTAAGGTATATGCACTACGCGCGCAGTATTCCACGCCTGCTCCAATATGCTATTTGCCGCATAACCGCTTTGGCAGTTCCGGCGTTCAGGCGGGTTCGGGCGAATTCGGACGTATTTGAGCGAGTCTAGGCCGGTTTGGACATATTCGGGCGGCTTTGGACGAATTCCGGCGCGGTCTGGACGATCCTAAAGGATGACGAATTTATCCGAGAAGCATTAGGCGCACCCGATAGTTTTTAAGATTAATTGTTATCCTGATTCACTGCTTACTGGCAGCCCTTAGGTTCGTTCATGCTCTACCGCTTTCGACCGGTGCCAAGAATGAAAAGAAAGAATGAAAAAGAATGAAAGAATGAAACTGCTAGACTGATGACCTCCGTTCAACACTTTCAACACCGGCAACACTTTCAACACTTTCAACACCGGCAACACTTTCAACACTTTCAACACTGGCAACACTTTCAACACTTTCAACACTTTCAACACCGACAACACTTTCAACACCGGCAACACGGGCGAAGTATGGCCAAAGCCTAAAAAGTTCAGATAGAGCAGGATCAGACCTGTTAAATAAGATGTCGATTACGTAACAATCATTTATCAAAATTATCAATATCGACTACAAAGTGAATGTGAGCAACACAAGGAAGATGCATGACCGAATGTATAATGTTATATCACCGAGAACATATCGTATCTTGACACGCTTCAATTCAATTATTTCTATCGTGTCCATCCATCTGACTACAGCCTATTCTTGGAAGGATAACGTAAAGTGGACCCTAATGTGCACACTCAAAAGCTAAGATAGTGTCCAGTTGAAGACTTTAACTTTCGGCCGTGTGCTTTAATCTAGCTGAGTAAACAGAAAAAAGCACAACCAGCGACATATTCAGTGTGAAGATGTGGTGAGCAGATACAGTCATCTTCCCAAAACTCAGTGGTGGATGTGATTCCTTGTAAATATTAGGTTGTCAAGAAAATAATGTCCGTTTTTATTTGCTTGCTTTAACAAAGCAACCAGACTCAACCCAACAAAGGATAATGGGTATTGTTCGATAGAGCAAAGCAAGCTCTACAAGATGGCACTCATGCCTTTGCGCCATGCTCAATCCACGGAAAGTTCGAACTCAAAATCTAAAGATTTCCAAATGCCCAAAAAATCGAAAAAAAAATCAGATCTTCGTCCAAATAATTTATACGGACCTCCCACACGCTCGCATCAATACTATCGATATCTGATATCCATATGTGCAATTGCCGTATTTTTTCCTTGACTAGAAACTGAGAAAACGAAAATTTCACTGTTTTTCTCAAAGCAATGCTGAGCCGTTTTTGCATATGTAGTCCTATACTACAAGCCTAGATAAGTATAACTGTAGATTTTCAGCCCATTCCAAGCGGGTGGCGGTCAAGATGAACGATAGCATGTGCCAGCCGCCAGCTGGGTACCGTACGCGGTGCGCTGGTCGCTCCGCCCCTGTTAATTAGCCTAGGAATGCGTTGCAGCTATTAGAAAACTCTCTAATACTTCGTTCATGCTTCTTCAGTTGGTTGCAGTTTAGATAACAGTAGATTCAGATAATTTTTCACCATAATTAGTTCGCAAGCTCTTTCTAATGTACTTCAGTCACTTATTCCCAGTAGGCTTGTCCAAAATGATTTTTCATTGCAGGTATGAGGAAAATGTTTCGAAAATGCTTGGAAAAGTGTTTCTCTCTATTTACATCTGTTATCATATTGAATATGCTTTGATGTGCATTCTCAAGTTTACTTTCAAAAAAATTCAGCTTATGAAATGAAACAACATTATAGTTCTATCGGAAAAGTAAGTTTTAAAACCCTAATCATAACTAAAAACAGATTTCGTTGCGACGAGAATTCAAAACAAGCATTATAGGCGAATTTTGTTCCAAGCGGACTAACTCGTTTTAAAAATATGCGTCATATCACATAAATTTTCTCAGGTTCCAGGAAAATCATACTGCACCTATACATTTCCGAAACTGCCTTAAATAACAAAATTCTTTTATTTTGCTTTCGAAAACTGTTATCCTCAGTATAAATCGATCTGTAACTCAATCGAAATTGCGTGTGAACTATCATAAGATGTGAGGTCACTCAGACAATCATGCCTGAGGTGTTCTAGATTGATTTCACACTTCAAAGCTCGATATCCAGGAGTCACTCGGTCATTCATAGGTAAATCAGCAAATCTCTAGAATCACGACCAAAACATCAGCTGTTCATTGATTGCCAAAAAAAGAAACTAAAAATCAAAACAAGACTGTAAACAGTCAAGCTTCACCCTTGCAACAAGCTTATATCTCACTATCAAAAATTATTTTTACTTGACATATCGTCCAAGAAACTCGTCCGCCGCAGTAGGGCGGAGCTTCGAGCGAACATGTTATTGCCAGTTCATGACCCCGCGCGCCACTGCTACCAGCTATCGTTCATCTTGACATATACCCATTCCAAGCGGTAGTTTTCGAAAAATAACGAATTCGGATTTTTTCGTTTCAGTTTCAGTGCTAAAATCGACATTTCTCGAAAAGTACCGCTCGAAATAGGCTGAAAACCTACAGTTATGCTTACCTAGGCTTGTAGTATAGAACTACATATGCAAAAACCACTCAGCATTGCTTTGAGAAAATCAGGGAAATTTTCGTTTTCTCAGTTTCTAGTCAAGGAAAAAATACGGCAATCGCACATATGGATATTAGATATCGATAGTATTGATGTGAGCGAGTGGGAGGTCCGTAGAAATTATTTGGACGAAGATCTGATTTTTTTCGATTTTTTGGGCCTTTGGAAATCTTTAGATTTTGAGTTCGAACTCTCCGTGGATCGAACACGGCGCAAAGACATGAGCGCCATCTTGTAGAGCTTGCTTTGCTCTATCGCACAGTACCCATTATCCTTTGTTGGGTTGAGTCTGGTTGCTTTGTTAAAGTAAGCAAATAAAAACGGACATTATTTTCTTGACAACCTAATACATCCACAGCAATAAAATTCACCATTCTAGCTTCGAATTACTGGAGTGGTGGCTTTGTCAAAGAAATTTACTCTGTGTTACCGTTTACATGGAGAAAGCACTTTTGCCTGGAAACTATCTCTGATGCTAACAGCATCTGAACATAAAACGGATTTTGAATCCCGCAAAGAATTGCGTATCGCAATAAGAAGATCGCAGTCTTCAGACCACATTTAAAGACAGCCTAATAGTTGCTGCGAATGGAAATAAGCACAAGATCAATGCGAAGGGATTTTCGGAGAAGCCTCATCGCCAACGAAGTTCTGAATCTCTTGCCAGATGATACCTAGGAAGAATATACGCATATAGGTGGAAGGCATAGCGTATGTTCCTCACCTTTCCACTCATCTTTAGACCTACTGGGATCGTCATTCAAGTCAAAAGAACAATTTTCCACTGGCTCGTCGCTAGCATCCACGTAATCAGCGAAATAAGGGTGTGAAAGTGAACCTTCTACAGTGAGCCTGTAATACTCTACATAAAAACTACTAACGCGACAGTGCCGAATACGGTCACAGCACACAAATGTAGAAAGAAGGCGTTGGATGGATATTGCTATGTAGATGGTCAGAACTTAACCAAGCCATTCCAAACAAGTTGTATATTATCGCACTCGCCTTGAAACGCTAATTTCAAACATACTTTTATCTCCAAGCGACTACCTGGACGGAGTCATGAGCGTTCAAATACGAAGAACTATTCAAATTCCAACGAGTATACTTCTTTGAAAAGCAGCCTGATGGCGCGAATTATGTGATTAGGGTATTTTGATTGAAGATAAGAAGCACATTCACAAAAAACCTAAGCAAGTGTTCCTAAGACGTATTTCGTGGGACATGCGTCATAGAACACTTATCAGACCGCATATTCAAGCTCAACTCCGTCCAGATAGTCGCTTGGCAGATAATAAACAACATCTGAAAACAGCGTTTCAAGGCAAGTCCGATAATATAATATACCAGTGGGTTACCTCCGCTTCGCGAAGGTTCGCACTGGCTCCCTATCCGTATGCCCTTCTCATGTTCGCATGAGAATGGCTTAGAAACCCACCACGCGATGATGAGCATCACAAATGAATCGTAAACAACTGTTCATTCATGAGGCATCTCCATGTAAGATCGGTAATTTTGAGAAAAAAAACTTTGATGCAAGGAAACAAATGGGAATTTGAACGGATTACTGAGTTTACTTTAGTTTGGTAATCGTCATAAGGATAACAGTCACCTTGGGCTACATTTCAGTGCAAAAATCTTTTCAGTTTTTCCAATTAAAACCTTGCCAAATCAACTATCTAAGCGTTCATCCATTTTGGCGCTGTTTTCGCAAAAAAGCAATCTTTTTGAGCATTTTTTGGTCTAGAATTCATGGCGCGCAGAGTTACTCGTCAGGCAAATCACAACTTTGCAAAAAGTCAATTTAAGACCCAGTTTTGCGTGCCAAAAGGCGCGTGGACCCGTTTGACGCGCAAATTTTGAGGGACCCGTTTATCGAACCGGCTCGTCCTTGCGCATGGTCGGTCTACACGCTGGCACGGTATGTTATGCAAAATTGCAGCCCGATAGCTTAGCTGCAGCTTTCTATGAATTTCGTGACAGACAGATTTTCACACAGACACACAGACAGACACACAAAAAAAGAGACGGCCTTAGCGCGTTATTATAGTAGGATACGTCGTCTGGTGTGGCTGGGTTAAGTTCTGACCATTTCCTGCTAAGATGTCTATGGAGTCTAGCACTTACAACACTGATGAAGATTTATCTTTCAGTGTGTTGCTTCGCCATGCTAATGCTTACTCGCTTTACCTGGGCGACACAGTGTGGTTCAAAAGAGGGACAATATTCAGCAGCTACCAATAAGCATTACCTTTTCTCGGGATCTAGGACGAGTATTTTATCGAGGAAATCGATGAATAATGGTGGGCAACCAGCAAAACGTTGTTTGAAGTTCTGACGATCATGGTGCGGATACGATTCGACTACGCGGCGTGTTGCGGGACTTGTAGCTTCTATCTGAAATGATCACGAATGCGAAGTAGGAATGTCTACTAGTTCATGAACAAAGAGACAGACCTTTCTCATTAAATCTTCGTCTGGACTCCCACAAAGAGTCGTTATCATCTCATACTGAGTATTTGCTTAACAACAACCAAATAAAAGACAACAAACTTTATCTTTGTTACTTACTATCTTCGCCTGGAAAGAGTGGCTTTCCCAACATCAGCTCGGCGGTGATACATCCAACCGACCATACGTCGACTGCAAATGCAAGATATACATCCTTCAAAGTGAACCAAAACATTGATAGATTTCCACTCTTAAAAGCAGCGTCCACCCAAAATAGGGTTGATGAGATTGTGAGGCCTAACAATGGTGGGGGCCCCCAACTGTATACTTGTCCGACTCGCGCTGACAAGGGATCGCTCAGATCGCGCACAAAGGCGCACGAAGGCGCACAAAGGCGCACGGAGGCGCGTCTCGTCTCGTCTCGTTTATCTCGACACGCACACTCACTCACACGCGCCTTCGTGCGCCTTCATGCGCTTTCGTGCGCCTTTGTGCGCGGTCTGAACGATCCCTAAAAGTTGCTTCTGAAGCGAGAAAATTGCCTCGAAAATCGCTCGAATGACAGTTTCGCCACGTTGGCTCCTCCCCTTTGAGTGGGCGTGACGTCTGTCCCGCCCACCCGTGCGCACTTAACCAATCACCGTTCCGGAGAACTCGCCCTGCGGGTTCTGGAAACTAAAGTTTTCGAGGTTTTCGCGGATTCTCAATTTGATATTCGGAATCAGGGTATGAGAAGGCCCTGAAACGGCAAAAACATGGAAGTCGAAATTTGGGTGGACGGTGCTTTAAGCTGAAAACGTAAATGGGGAACAACATGGGACTAAGCGCAGCTTTGCCTTTCTCGATTCGTATTTCTCGACTCTAGGACTAGATAAGGCTTTCATTCATGACTGCTGGTATACGTCTATTAACGCTAGAACAATACGATGTAAAACCTCGATGGGGCCTTGGATTTGATCTACTGAAAGGGTTACGCATGTTTTGTTAATGTTAAAGGCACCGTCCACCCAAACTGAGGGTTGATGAGATTTCGGTGCATACTAGTGTGGGCCCCCACACTAGGCAAACCCCCAAGTAGCGCCACAAAATACTCCCTCCGAAGCGAGAAATCCGCTCCGGAAGGGACGTAACCGGAGGTGGTCACTCCGCCCACTTTGCAGGCGCACCATTGGAGATACTACACGCACAGCGCAGTACACTGCTTCGTCGTAGGCGACTAATCGGAGTTTTTTTAATGTTATTTCGTGTATTAGTATTCTTAACCGTTCGTTTTTTATTCAATCATGACCAAATTTGCGACAAAGTTATTTTTTTTTCGATTATAGCTATCATCAGCATCCGGCATAGCTGTTTCTCGATGTAGACATGATCTTTCTTTATAGGTGACGCTTGTGCTCAATGAAACAAGATGAACATGCGAAGATAACGTGAGTTTCTTTTCATTGAAATGTACATCAAATTCAAAAACTATTTGTAGTCAAAATGATCGTTGTCGTCGATACTACATGACTAATGCATTGCAATCTGTCACGCATTTTTCCGCAGCTAACTTGCTATTGTTGTACGTTGATCTTGACGTGTTATCAAATTATTTGATGGAATTGTTTTGCAGACAAGTGAATCCTTTTTTTTCCTAATACTCCTCCTAATCGATTGCACAATTGCCCGTGACTAGTTTGCAAATGACGCCCTGCGTATATCAGCGCGCCTGCAAAGTGGGAGGAGTGACCACCTCCGGTCACGTCCCTTCCGGAGCGGATTTCTCGCTTCGGAGGGAGTATTTTGCGGCGCTACTTGGGGGTTTGCTTAGTGTGGGGGCCCACACTAGTATGCACCGAAATCTCATCAACCCTCACTTTGGGTGGACGGTGCCTTTAAGTGCCGCGCAGAAACTTACTCGCGGACAGCCTCATGTATATGTACCAGTGGCGTACCGAGGGGAGGGGGGCGGGGGGGGGGGGCGCCCCCCCCCCCCCCCCCCGAGAACGGGTCGCGAAATTTTTGAAAGTTACTTATATGCGTTATAAAATTGTGCAAATGACTTGTTTGCACTTGTAAATAATTAAAATAATTTTTAAAATTTTTTAAAAATCCATTTTAGCCTTATAAAAATTTTTTTTCGGGGGAGTGGCTGACGCCACGCCCCCTTTTCCCGGATTTTAGGGGTTGGGAACCCGCCAAAATTTTGAGAAGCCCCCCAAAAAATTTTTCGGAGTGCGTGGCTAACGCCACGCACCTTCATTAGAAAAAAATTTTTGTCGCCCCTCCCCCCGAGCCGAATTCCTGGGTACGCCACTGATATGTACTGATACAAACACCCTTACCCTGTTCATTGTAACCAGCAATATTCCAGTAGATAACCTCAGGACTTCGGTACCATCGGGTCATTACATACTGTGTAAGAGAAGTCTCTGTGCGCTCCAGGGAGCGGGCCATACCAAAATCCAGTACTGTCAAATCACTATCAGGAGTTAACGCCAAATTTCCCGGTTTTAAGTCTCTGTGGATAATCTGAAAAACTATGCTGAATATGACCAACATGACGGAAAAAAACTCACATTAGCCGAATGTATGTATTTGAGCACCCTCAGTAGTTGATAGATAATAAAAGGGACATGCTCAGGAGTGATATGGGTTGTACCAGTGACCTTCTGATCATGCAATATTTTTAGAATACTTTCTCCGGCAAATTCTGTGACGACATATCTAAAAAAGCAATTTAATCTAAAAAGATGAAATCGCAGTCGATTTTCCCATTCTCCTGATGCGACTGCAATATTTTGCAAAGAACATGAAATTAGTTTGAAGCAAATCTCGCTGAGTCCTGCATCTACTGTTTTGTTGCTGTCTCTCACTGGGCAAAGTCATTCATAACAATAAATCTCGCCCTTCATACGGAGCTCTTTTATGCCATTTTGTCTTTTTCCTCTAGATTGACAGAGATCAAGCGCAGGGGATCTTCGCATGGACAGAGCAAAGATTATAGGCGATACCTCCCCAATACTTGCAGCACATCGCGTTAGCTTCAAAGTATTAGGTTGGTGCAAAAGTAATGCGCGTTTTTCTAGCCCCCATTTCAAAACAGCTTTTCTCCATCGAAGCTTCCCTATGAAACTTATACGGCATACTTTTAAGAAGCTTATTTCATGCTCTATTCAATGGTTGTTGAAACAGGCTTCTAGCCTCAATCATTAAAAATTTATAGAGCTTCATACAACCGCACTTGAAACCAGAATTTTATTGCACTTACTTTTTTGGCCAGAATTTGAGCGCGAGTAAACGCATTCTTTTGAAAATTTGATCACTGTATGTAGTAGAAATTTTCTACGTTACGCACGCTTTGCTGTTTTCTCAGAAATTATTTAGACTGAGATTTCGGTGCTTCAACATGAGTGATGGTTTTGAACATTCTGTGGCTCATAGATTTCCTTTGAAGAAGGCAATCGCCAAAGTTTTGCTCATTCCTGTAAGCGTAAGGGTGGACCTCCTGTTGACAGTTTTTGCAGAAATGTGGAAGCTGTTCAGTACACAGAAAATCAAAAATCTCCATATTTTGGGATTGTGAGGGCCGCGGAAAAATGTCGAAAAAAGCGGACAATTTTAAATATTATTTTTTCCTTTTCTCGGAACTTCTTTGTTTGAGCCCCTTTTAACTTTTACTTGTACTACTGGCTTGCGGCTACAAGACTGTCAACTTTTTATTTGAACCAACAAATCTTGAAGGAAGTTATGATCAGTTAAAAACGAAGTTTCCGAAAAAAATTTTTTTTGCTTTTTAATCCATATTTTTTCACCGTTTTGCGACGTTATCACAAATTGATGTGCGCTGGATAGAGAGAGCTTTACTGCCTCTGATGGATTTCGTCGCGCTGAAAAATATGAATTTTTTAGAAAGTTGTAGCACGTCAAAGTGAGAACTCGCAAAACGCGCATTACTTTTGCACCAACCTAATAATATAATAAAAACTCAGCACTAATTCTGGAATGACTGGGTATATAAACTTCCCCAAACATAACAAATATAGCATGATATTCAAAAAAAATCGAGCGTATGCAGTATTCCGTAACTCAATTGATGTTGTTGCATATGATCACTATGGATGATGGCAAAATACGCGTTAAGGCCCCGGTAAGACTTCACGCGACTTAATCGTCGCGATCTAATCGCCAAGATTTCCATTCATTTTCATTTCACATTCAAAAATTTCGGGTTGGAAAAGTATCACAACCGAATGAAAGTTGGTCAGCATGGAATGATGTTGTAACAGTTATCTCCTCGCGATTCAGTAGCGACGATCAAATCGCGTGAAGTCTGCCCGGGCCTAAGGCCTAAGGCATACCTCGCGCGATTCCGGTCGCTGCGCGATTTGGCACAACAGCGACTCTTCGTAATTCGTCGTTAACGCGTACCTTTGGTCAGGACTTGCTCTGTTTGCAACAGCTTACACAAGCTACCCAAATATGCGTCCGAGAAGTCCGCACGATAAATTTATGGAAATCTGGCAAATCGCCAAGTTGCGTGAAAGTGGCGATTCGGCCGAATCGCGTGAGGTATGCCTTGGCCCTAACACGAATCGCATCATTCTAATGGCCAGGAGAAAATTTTTGAGTTTGACGAGAAAAATGAGAACCAATACTTTAGCATGAAATGATTTGCATTTATCTAGATAAGCTGATTCCATACTTATTTGGAACCGATAGATTATGCTGAACTCTGGGAGTAAAAGTCATACATGACTAACAACGGGTTAGCAAGCGAAGTGCTTGCGGGAAGTGACTGTGATAATATTGGTTTTTATGGACGCAGCTAATTACATGCTTAACATACAACAACTTATGATTGTAAAAGCTGCGATTCAACAGACAGAATTTAGGGACAGAGTGTAATAACGCATGGAAGAGAGAAACGAACTATGACACGAAGAAAGTTTCTGAGCTTTTTCAAAAATCTTAGATTGGGATAAAATACAGCGAAACTAGAAAACTACTCACACATCTTTGAACTCGTGCTCCACAGTATTTGGGGTATAGAGATCAATCGCCCGTATAACACCATCGTGCCTCATTATTTTTAACAGCTTGATTTCTCGATAGATCATACGCGCCTGTAAGTAGGAGAGTTAGGTACGGCCAGCTGGAAATCTAAGTAGGGTGCAGGAGAATCAGCAAGCTGATCACAAGTATCCTACAATTTGTTCCAAATGGAAAAAAAAATTCATATCATTGGCGCTGAGTTTCTGCAGCGCGACAAACACCGCACTTATCTTTCATCCGCTTCAAATCAAAACGTGGCATCACCAAACGACATTCGTCATTCGACGTTTGTAAAAGCAGTTCCCTTCGACTTCTCTCTCAGACATCAAATGACAAATGATGTTCTTAATGAAGCCGTATTTTGATTTGAAGTGGATGAAAAGGATAAGTAGCGTTCGTATGTAAGGGTTTCCGCATGCTCGAAACGCTGACGGGTGCAGCAGAGGACCGTTACGCAAAAGACCGACCGTGCGGACGCGCGCCATGCCTACAGTCTGCCCCAATCCTAACCAGGCCAAAATTGGCATGGCGGGAGTCCGCGTCGCTAAGGCCCTGGCCAGACTTCGCTCAAAAGCGCGCAAAAGCGCCCAAAAGCGCCCAAAAGCGCTCAAAAGCGCGCAAAAGCGCCCAAATTTCTCTGGTGTCTCTTCACTTTCTCGTGTGAGGAGAGATGAGAGAGTGTGAGGAGAGGTTAGAGAAGTTTGGGCGCTTTTGCGCGCTTTTGAGCGCTTTTGCGCGCTTTTGGGCGCTTTTGCGCGCTTTTGGGCGCTTTTGAGCGAAGTCTGGCCAGGGCCTAAGGTTTCGCGGTCACGCCCACGGCCTGCTTCTCTGCCCTCTCTTCAGTCCTTTGGCTCTCTCCAAGAGCGCGCATATGCAGCGCAGACCGCTAGCGCTGCGAGCGCGTAAATTTACGCCGACGCTCCGGCCTGATCCCGATTGGGGCAGACTGTAGAATGATCATGGCAATTCCTTATTGTTGTGTTAAATGTACGCGAAAAGGCTCTTCCACAATACACGCTATCGTAAGGGTACGGCCATAGGTTGCCGGCGTTGCCGGGGTCAGAGACAACTTAGAGAGAGCGCGAAACGTGGAGGCTATCATGAGTTAGCGACCAGCAACGCCGACAACCTCAGCAACGTTGGCAACTTCGACAACTGTTGCCGGCAACCTATGGCCGTTCCCCAATGAGTGGATGTGATAAAGAAAAAGCATGCCAAACACCCACCCCCTTCTTCAAACACAGTTTCATAAATTCTGAATTTCGAGCTTTTATATCTACCGTGAATATCAAAAACCCTCAGACTCTCACATGAATGAGCATCATGCCATCCTCATGTCCCGTATCTCTTCGCCAGAATCGCGGCGGGAGATAAAATCTCAGAAGTGCAGCGTCCTGCTTTCTATGAGTCAAAATCATACCTGCAACTGGTCGCCAAAGGGATCCCTAAACTTCTTCACTGCAACTGCGCGAACTGCTCCATCGCGGCATTCGACTGTAGTCTTACTGAATGTTGAGGATGATCAGCGATGAGATATAAGTAATACAGAAATGGTCTCACATTACATTGCCATAAGCTCCCGATCCAAGAAATTCAATATCGCTGCGCGAGGTTGAATATCCTTCAGGAAGCGCAAAGTTTACCGTATTCACAGGCACGTAATTGAACCTCCTTTGAATTGGTGTACGATCCGAGGTGTTAACCGAATCTCCTGTATTCGATGCATGTTCAGCTGTGCTCGCATTGGAACGACCAACAATCGGTGTTGAGTTTTCTGAGCCGTTCAGATTGTCGGGTGATATATCGTCGTCGTCGTTGGCTTTCACGGTGTCACCCTGAAAAACTCAAAATAAATTAGAGCTGTGATAAACATACGCGTAAGGATTTACTAAGATTAAACCAGAAGGTGGTTCTTATACGATATTACTGCAACCGCAGGGTGAATAAACTTCCATTGCGGGAAACTTCTGTAAAAAAACCTTTACTTTCTTTCCCGCTACGAACAGTAGATCTCTCATTGGTGACCTGGCTATTTGGGAGAAAGGCTTGTATATTCAGCCACAGCAACGGATTCACACAAGAGCTTTACATCCACACTGGTGTGATGCCAGTTCAAGGCTCAACATGAAGAGTTCAAGGGAAACAACAAACAAACAAGAGAAGTGTGGGCTGAGAATGTCGCCGATGAGATCTGCTCGCGAAGATATCCGCTGCAAACAGTGCATCTCTACGCCTTTTACAAGTAGTCCGGTAGCCGGAGCCTATCGTCAACGTGACTCTACCTGAGACCCATGCCACTAAAACGGAAAGTTTTATATTTTCAGTCCTTGAACAAAGCTCAAGTAGGAAACCCATGAAGTACTCTAATTTTCAACTCTCACATTGCCTAAGCTGCTCCTATAAATTCGCAAAAAGGGCGTTGTGACCAATCTTCAATGAATACTACTCCGTTGCCTAATTTATGATTCAGCTAAATCAATCCCAACCATGAAGCATCGGCCAGCCCCTCAGTCCGCTTTTGAGTGCTTTTGGGCGCTCAAAAGCGCACAACACGCCAAAACACCCTCTTTCACGTGCACAACACTATCCTCGATTCTTTGACCGTATAGACTGCTGAAACGCTGCGGACCAAGCGCAGCGCGGCTAAAATGCTGTGAGAACCCGATTTGTACAGTGGCGGATTTGTACCGGGGCAAGCTTTTTAGTTCGCGGCGAGTGTTCCTCAGTGATGCCCAGTCGTTGCGGTCAACGAATCGACGATAAACGCTGTAGCGTACATTCTATAAACATTGGTCAACATTAAAATCGACAACTAAAGCTAGATTTATAACTCATCGTTTCTGGAAAATAAAGAGATCCATGATAATAACGTCAAAGGTTCCAACCTATTTACCCTCGATATCAACCCATATGTTCTTCCCTCAACATGACGTAGACTACGTGGATTGACGAGGCGCCGCCTCGCTTCGGGTTCGCACCACGTTGCTTGCGCATCTTCGGCGTGATGTGGCAACAAGAACAACGCGGAAAGAGTGCGCCATGTTCTTTTGAACGCCACGTCGCGCCAGACGATGCGCTCGCAATGTACTGCGAGCTCGAAGCGAGGCGGCGCCTCATCAATCCACGTAGCCCACGTCATGTTGAGGGAAGACATGGATTGATATCAAGGGTATGTATCATCTTGAAACCGAAACGTATTGACACAGACTGTAGTCTTATAATAGATAGATAGACTGCAAGGCAAACTTGTTAGAAACACCATCAAACTTGTTTAACAATGTGTGTGACGCAATTAAATCGAGTCTTTTGATTTTAGAACAAAGAATAGTTTTTTCGCAACAGAGCAAAGGTTTGGTCGCAAAGGGAACGGCCATAGGTTGTCGATGTTGTCGGTGTTGTCGATGTTATCGATGTTGTCGGTGTTGTTCGGTGTTGTCAGTGTTGTCGGTGTTGTCGGTGTTGTCGGGGTCAGAGACAGTTTAGAGAGCGCGCGAAACGTGGAGGCTATCATGAGGTCCTACAACGACCGGCAACCTCGGCAACCCCGACAACACCGACAACATCGACAATACCGACAACATCGACAACACCGACAACACCGACAACACCGACAACATCGACAACACCGACAACCTATGGCCGTTCCCAAAGAGTGAAAACAACGACGATATGCACAGATCATTAAAGCACTTTCATGCGGATAAGCCATCCCTTCGGCGCTGATGAGACTGAGACGGAGATCCTATCTACAAAGTAACCAGATACGTTTAGCAATGGACTTAGCTCGTATTGATACAGCAAGAATAATGGGCGCTATTCCACATTAGTTGACTGAAAAAATGAAAGTCGTGAATTTCGCTAAAACTTCGTCTAGGGGGGGGGGGGGGTTATTTGGTATGCTGAACACGAATATGATGTTTATTTCGCTCGGGAGCGCCATTTAGTGAAGTTAGCAAGATTAAGGTAAGGGTTCGGAATCACGGATTTGCCCGAAACTTCGTCTAGAGGGGTTATTTAGCATGCTGAATACGATTATGATGTTTATTTTATGCGACAGCTCCATCCGGTAGGGTTACGGTAAGATCGGGTTTGAAAACCTACCGTAAAGCTACTGTAACCCCTCGGAGGGCGCTGTCGCGCGAAATAAACATCATGTTCGTGTTCAGCATGCCAAATAACCCCTCTAGACAAAGTTTCGGGCAAATTCGTGATTTTGACCCCCTACCCTAATCCTACCGTAACTTCACCGAATGGCGCTGCCGAGCGAAATTATTGGCATCATATTCGTGTTCAGCGTACCAAATAACCAAATAACCCCCCCCCCCCCGACCGAAGTTCCAGCGAAATTCACGACTTTCATTTTGGTCAACTAAGGGATCGTTCAGACCGCGCACAAAGGCGCACGAAAGCGCGTCTCGTCTCGTCTCGTTTATCTCGACAAACACACACTCACATGCGCCTTTGTGCGCCTTTCTGCGCGGTCTGAACGATCCCTAATGTGGAATAGTACCGAATAATCATATGGTGAAGCTTAAGTCGATATAGCGTCTCAAACATTGTCAAAGTGTATAAATGTAGCCGTTCGAGTGTTAAACAATTCTAAACAATGCACTTCAAATATACACCGCAGCCGCAGCGTCACATGCTGCGCGCGTGAAAGTGGCGCTCTGACGCTTTACAGTCTGCCCCAATCCCAACCAGATCGAAATTGGCATGGCGGGAACCCGTGTCGAGAGGCTGCGTTCATACTGATCCCGAAGTCCGGGAACAGTTCCAGCATAGCGCTTGAAATGAGCGCTGTGCTGAAACTGTTCCCGGATTTCGAAATCACTCTGAACGCAGCCAGAGGGTATTGCGTCACGTCTACGGCTAGTCAATTTCTTCGCTCTCTCCTCAATTTCTTCGCTCTCTGCGACGCTAGGGGTCAGCGCGCGTAAGCAGCGTTGCGAGCGTTGCGAGCGCGCAAATTCAGCCAGCGGTTCAGCCTGATCGCGATTGGGGCAGACTGTAAGAGCTTTCGAATGAAGTCTAGCCGATGCCTAAATTACTTGCGAGCATCACTTAAAGAGTAGTATTTCGCTAATTGAAATGTGTTGAACACATGAACTCATGACGCAAAAGGAATATAGAACATGAAGAATTGACTAGACGAAAAGTTACCGTGGCATCACTGCAGACACCGCTCTCCACCATATCTTCAGCAAAGGTTTCTGGATACGCGATAGGTGCAAATTTCAGCACGACGGTATGTGACTTGTGTTCATCGATGGGAACTAAATGATTGGATGAAACTAGTGAGATCCATGATGAGTAGTTAGGTGAAGCATTACTGGTAGCCGAAATGGAAAAGGCGACGATTATGAGATGAGGAATGATATTGCTGAATGAACAGCATGACCTCCAGAACAATGATCCCGACATCGCGATAAAGACAAGCAAGTGGCGCTTATTAATAACGAGCCTTCTTCTCACAACGGCAACAATAATTGCAGACAAATGACCGAATCAATTCGTACTCACCAACGTAAACAAACCAGCATGAATTAAAACCTGGTGAAAAATTAGAAGTACCGCATTTTATGGAAATATATCAAAAAATCAGGAGTGTTTAGCACAGGAAATACCAATGCATAATGTGAAGGACAGTTCCACAGTATGGTGGAGCAGCGGCACTCGGGAAAACATTCAGGAGAGAGGAGGGTTGTGAAAACCAGTTATATATACACTTAAAGAATGATGCCGTCCATAATCCCGCGTTAGCCACTGGATAAATTGAGATGATGGTAAGACAAAAAAAAATTGGGTTGCAAATGCTGCTATTATTAAAGACCTTAGCAAAACTCTCACGGAAATTTGGTCTTGCTGGACGGAATGAAAAAAGGAAACAATATATTCTCCAAGTTAGCTATAGCCCAAAGCAGTTGTTGGGGAATAGATTAGAAGGGAAGAAGTTAATCATTTTGCAAAGTTAATCAGTCTGGTTTAGCTTAGGCCTAAGGCCTAAGGCATACCTCTCGCGATTTCGCGAAATCGCCACATCCTTGCGACTTGGCGATTTGCCAGATGTCTAGAATTAAGCATGCGAGGCTCTCAGATGCATGGGTGCGTAGGTTCCGTTGATTGTAACAAGCGCAGCAAGTCTGGCCCAAGCAAAGAGCGCTTACGACCAGCTATGGAGAGCCGTTGCAGTGCCAAATCGCGCGGCGTCTAAAATCGCGTGAGGTATGCCTTAGGCCTAAGGCATACCTCATGCGACTTGACCAAATCACGACGTCCACGCGATTTGGCGCTTGCCAGATTTTCACAAATTCGTCGTGGGCGATTTCAAAAGCATAAGCGCGTAGCTCTTGTAACTTGCAAGTGGATCAAGTCCTGTCAAAACAAAGGATGGTAATGACCAATTAGGAACAGTCACTTCTGTGCCAGATGGCGCAGTGACAGAAATCGCATGAGGTATGCCTTAGGCCTTAGGATTCTGGACTCAGTGAATTAATTGCTTGTAGATGAAACCAACCAAATTTCCGCTTGCGCACGAGATGGAGACAGCGAAGTGAATTACCCATAAGCAGTGCAAATCACGAGATACAACACCAAGTCCAACGTTCAGTGGCCCATGTTCAACCTAAGGCAATGGAAAAGGACATGACAGACAAACATTTCTACGTTAAGATAATGAGTGCCTACAGCAGTGAAACGTTGACAAGACAAGATGGAAATGTCATCAGTAACGAGAACGTTACTCATACGGAAACAAAGGATTTTTTTTTTTGTTTGACTTTCGTTGCAGAATGGTCATATCAGCTATGAACCGATGATTCATTACAGAAATCTAATAACCTGACTCATCTCTTACAAAGGTTGCCTTTTTTCTGCAGCTTTGAAACGAAAGTGTAACGCAGAAAAACGCCGCTGAGTGTGTCCTGCCTCAAACTCGCTAAATACAGTGCGATAGTTTAATGGTTCTCAGGTATGCGCAAAGCAGTCTTGCCTGATAGCTGAGACTTCCAGATAATTTCTTTTACCTTTACAAACCTTTCTAAGAGTTCAGCATAATCTTTTGTAGAAGATACACTTCAGTCATCGTCGCAATCAAAGACAATCCTTTTGTATGTATGATCTTTGACAGATATTAGCTATCTACTGATTGGGCAACAAAGGAAGACAAAATACATTGAAATCTCAAAATTTTGCGACCCATCCTCGCCACTGACTTGTAGGGTAGGTGTCAGACTTCTCAGGTTCAACCGATTCATGCGCTATTGGTGAACATTAGACTGACCAATAGCGAATGGGGTGAACAGGATCAATCGGTTGAATCGGATAAGTCTGGCACCTACAATGCGTTCAAAGAGGCCAGCGCCGCGTACTGCAGTCAGGTAGGTGCCAGAGTAAGCGAATATTTTGTTCAAGTTGGGGTCCCGCGCAGAACTGGCGTTACTAAGGCTGCGTTCATACTGATCACGAAATCCGGGAACAGTTCCAGCATAGTGCTCGAACTGAGCGTTGTGCTGGGAATGTTCCCGGACTTCGGGATCAGTATGAACGCAGCCAATCATTGTGGCACAACGCCAAGTTGGCATTATGCCACAATGATTAATGATGCCAGTTCTGCGCGGGACCCCAACTTGAACAAAATATTCGCTTACTCTGGCACCTACGGGATCGGCCATACTATTCCTGCTATTCCTACGACTCCTGCGATTCCTGTGAGTCCCGCACAGTTTAGACGCCGCTTAAATGAGCGCGTGTTGCGTGTTACGGTTTTACGCAACACGCGCTCATTTAAGCGGCGTCTAAACTGTGCGGGACTCACAGGAATCGCAGGAATCGCAGGAGTCGTAGGAATAGCAGGAATAGTATGGCCGATCCCTACCTCACACATCTACGCGCGAGCGTTACCGTGCAGCGTGCAGGGACCATGCTGCGCACAATATCGCGGGCCTTGTTTCTACCATTGTATCTTGTAATTTTTCCTCTTTTGTAGCGACGTACTGCCATTTTTCTTGCTTCTGTGCTCATATGCGATTTGTCTTGATACCGGATATGATTTTTTTTGCATCTAAGGAAGGAGGTATCAAATCTTTGAGCGTTTTTTCTCACGATCAGCACCTTTCTCATTTTCTCATGATCAGCATCTTTCATTTCATCCACGCCTTCTTCAGATGGCTGATTCCGAATGTCATGATTCATTACATCGACTTTGTTTTAGCGGGCATAATCGTACATCGTCTATGGTTGAGCGAACAGCGCGTTGTCGTTGTTTACTCAAACAATTCTTTCAACCTATACGACATACGATTACGCTTCACATATCCACCTTTAGCTGTAAAGAGGAAGAGCATCAACCGTCAGAATTCTCAAATGAAATGATTTAGATTACATCTTCTTTTGCAACTCAAACCTCCATTTTGTATTCCAATTCCCGCAATGATACTTTGAGAGATCTCAGAAAGAGCGCCAAAGCAGCGTTTTAGACAGGAAAAGCAGACAGCGAAAAAGCTAAGAAAGAAGAAGGAAGAGTAGCCAGTTCAAGGATCACGCCGCTTTGCGCGGCATGGTCCATGTACGCTGCAGCCGACGGTAGCGCTCGCACGTAGGGGTGTAACTGCACTACGCGGCGCTGGCCCCGTCAAACGCACTGTACGGGAAAAGCCGCCGCAGGGTGTGTCGCGCGCGGTGGTCCTGTGCGGAAAGCACTGCGGTCGTGCGAATAGCCCTAAGCCCCTAGAAAAGTGGCAAAAGCAATGAGAAAGATTTGAATACTTTCTCAACCTTTACTTGGCGTGACTAAATCTCTTTGTGAACGCAAATCGCTCAACGGTGCAATTTAAATAATGTTGAGAGAGTCGCAAGTACAGTCTGCTCCAATCGGGATCAGGCCGAACCGTCGGCGTAAATTTGGGCACTCGCAGCGCTAGCGGTCTGCGATGCACTTGCGCGCTGTCGGAGAGAGCAAAAAAATTGAAGAGAGGGCAGAGAAGCAGGCCGTGGGCGTGACCGCGAAATCCTAGCGACGCGGTCTGCCGCCATCCCAATTTTGTCCTGGTTGGGATTGGGGCAGACTGTACGCATGGTGCTATGAAAATGCGACAGGTCACCACGATTGCTCTGTCAGGAAAGAGGGGGATACTGTGGCAAAAGACGATGCGAAATCTGAGCCGGGTGGGAGAGCGAACACCTCCATTACATCGCCTCCGCAGAGACTACTGGTCTCATCACGAGCATAACAATGGGGCGAAAAGACTAGCAGCCCGGATATACGCCTCCATCCAAACTGGACCCCAGGATCATATTTCGCATGGACTCATGGCGCAACCCATCAGTTTCGCGCGAGTTTCGAGGGAAATATCTCAGCCGTTAGAGACTCGTCATACTTCGCCGAAAAAAGCCCAAAAGCGCCCAAGAGCGCCAGAAAGAGCCGGAAAGCCTCCTTCGCGCGCATTGGCGCCGAGGCATGTGTGTTGATTTCGTAACCGAGTGTTTTTGGTTCATTTTCTGTCGTCTGCGCATTAATGTCAGAATTCTACTAAGAATTCGTTTCTGCGTTTCGGCTCTTTTTGAGCGCTTTTGGGCTTCTCTCGGCGAAGTATGACGGATCCTTTGGAGCACTACCAGAGCTGTCGCTTCGGCAGTGGCTTAATCAGGGCCCCAAAATTACTATCCACGTGAGATCCCCATATGTCCAGTTTTGCCTGAGCGCTGCCTTTAAAGGCAGCGTCCCACCAGTTTGGGGGGTACCTGGCTCTGGTATTAATGCAATAGTATACCTCCTAACTAAGCGACGACAGAAGTTTGCAGCAGCGCGAAAGGGGTCTATGAAGTCTACAAATCGCTCCCTGAGTGGCTCGAATTACGGTAGGCCCGAACGCCACCCACAGATCAATTTCGAACTGCAAGGCCAGAGCACGCATGGCGCACATGACTTGCAAGTCATGAGTGCAGGGTCCCAAAACGACTCTGAGTCTCTACCTTGCAAGCATTTCGTATTCGCCTACCGTAAGATTCGGGCCACTTGGAGGCTATTTGTAGACTTCGTAGACCCCCTTTCGCGCTGCAAACTTCTGTCGTCGCTTAGTCAGGGGTTTACTGTTACATTAGTACCAGAGCCAGGTACCCCCAATTTGGTGGGACGCTGCCTTCAAAGGGACCTATGCAATTCTGGGGATGCACCATACCTATATATTGGATAAAGAACTATTTTCAAAAGACTAGAAAAGTACTGTTATGCAGAACGATTTTCAAGTCATCATTCATTTGTAATATCTGTGAAATCAATGTGGAAGAGAAAGTGGATCTTAGCAATCTTTTCTTTGCAACTGGTGTTACAAAAAACTATGTAGTCCGACTCTGCGCAAGCTTCTTTACAGCAGGAAACGCCCTCCCCCCCCCCCCCCCGCAGGGATATTGGTGCAGACGGGCTTTAGAGGAGATGGTGTTTTTAGATAAATATAGAAATAAACAATACTTCGATAAATAACAGTAATGCACAATGATTGTCAGGTATAAAAGGTTAGCTACTCCCTTTATCCTGATGTGTAGCGGGTTACAAAATCTTATATAAATATTTATTATCTACATAATATACAAGGGTGATGGGGGAAGGGGGGATGGTGGCAACCGGGTGGTGTCGGGGCCACGGGGGTCACTGCTCGGCTCGACTCTCGTCGGCCAGCCTCCGAACAGCTGATGCAGTCCAACTGCATCCCGACATCTCCATTCCTTCGAGAAGCTCGTCCTCGAGCGAGTCAGATAGGCGTGGTTGTTCTTCCGGGTAGCGTGCATAGATGGTTGGACACGCGTTTACGGCGAGAACATCTTCAAGATTGACGATAGGCATACGATTCGAGGATGATGATGTACGTGAGGGTGAGCTACTGAGGATGAGGGATCAGTGAACCATGGAAATGGCTACGACTTCTCCCAGGGCATTGAAGAAGCTCGTCCTCGAGCGAGGATTGTCAGGAATGGTGAAAATTCGCATTACAGGATGTCATATGGGAAGCAGGATGGTTAAGTTGGACTAAGGATTGTAGAATATCCTTTTGGGATTTTTAGGCGTTGATGAAGGACAGCATATCAGGAATCAGGTATCATGAAGTGAGGTTCAAAGTTGGTAGAATATAAGTCATGGCGTTTACAAGATATAATAGCTACAATAGCATGGTTATCTTAGTATACTGTGTAAATCATACAGATATAGGTGATATGTAACAAAATGTTGCATAATAGTGAGAAATATAATCTTTAGAAAATGGTGTAATTGTATAACATGTAAATTGGTACATATATATGTATGCTAGCGTATATAACAGAACAGCATCATTGCAAGTTTATAACATAATTAACGTGTTTCCAATGTTGAATTGGGCACAGCACACTTGTTTTTCATTCAACAATGGGGCAAAATTTGGAGAGTAAGATGAGAAATGTTTTTTTTTTCAAGCTGCTTAATGCGAAAAATGTTCTTTGAATTGCCTGTTCAAAGAACTTCAGTTGTCAACAGCGCGATGCGGCGAAAGATTGGAAATAAACTAACCTTAAAGAAGAAATAACTATTGTATTGCCAAAGATGGAGTGTATATATATATAAAACATTTTTCAATAGTTATTTCCCCTTTGTTCAGAACGATGGTTGTTTAAAGCTGCATTCTTCAGCTGAAGACGACGTGATTTCCGAACCTGTGGTGCTTGTTCAACATTGACTGAAGTTTCCGTATCAGGTAATGGTTGGGTAATTGTTTTTGAAGTGGAAACTTTAGTTAATGGGGAACTATGAGAATAGATTTTCAGTCTATTCATGTGGACTTTACGCCTGAAAAGTCCGTTTAGGTTCGTGATGATTACGTTGGGACGTTCGACAGACACTACAATGAAAGGACCTTTCCAATGGTAAGTAAATTTGGGACGAACGGTATCGTCACGTAACAGAACTAAATCACCGTTGGAAATGACCTTAGAGAACACTTTATTATGGAAATCGTAACCTGATTTGTAGGTGGCAGTCTTACGAGCGATTCGGTTACCGACCTCCACAATGGTGGTTTGGAGTGCTGTCGTCATCTGGTCAACGAAGTTATCGGTTGCGTAGGAAAGCCTGGATGGAAGCTGGTGGATGATGTCGCACCAGGTGATTGGGTGGCGACCGTACGCAACAAAGTATGGACTATAACCAGTAGTGTCGTTAACACTAGTGTTATAGGCAAAGACGATGGGTTGAAGGAAATCGGACCAAAACTCCTGTGCTTCGGAACAGTATGAAGTTAGAGAGTCTACGATCACCTTAACCATTCTTTCGACTTGTCCGTTAGCCTTGTGGTTGTAACTTGTGGTCAGCTTGTTCTCAATGCCAAGGATCTGGTTGATTTTGGAGAACATTTCGCTGGTATAGTTAGAACCACGATCCGACACTATTTCATTCGGAATTCCGTGTTTAGCTATCACATCGTTAATCAGAGCTTTCACTACAGTGTCGGTTGTTTGGTCAGCAATTGCGGTGCAAGTGATCAGCTTGCTAAATGCGCAAACAGTAATGGAAATGAATTTATTTCCATTGACACACTGAGGTAAAGGTCCGATTATGTCGGTGTGGAGACGCTCGAAAGGTCTCTGGGGAATTGGGAAAGAACCCAATTCTTCACGGATTATGTTTCCTGACGGTGTTTTAATTTTCTGACATATAGAACAGCTTTTTACAAAAGTTGCGACATCTCTGTGCATGTTAGTCCAATAATATTTGGAGGAAATACTGTTCATTGTTTTTCTGATACCTAGATGAGATCCTATCAATGGATTAGTGTGAATAATTTGTACTATTTTGTTTTGCAAAGTTGGATCGGGTACAATAAGTTGAGGTTTGTCGTGATGTTTGTAATAAAGTGAATTGTTGAAAAAAGTGTACCTGTCTATAATGTCAGCAAATGTGTCAGGTGGACAGTCAAGTTCGCCTTTGTAAAATCTGATCAATTCTCCATACTCAGAATTGATCTGCGACTGCTGAATCTCGTTGAGAGAAGGAAGCGCATTTATTTGGATAGAATTGGCGCTGGCAGTCGGGTAGCGACTTAGAAAATCGCAAAGAGTGTTGTGCTTTCCAGCACGATATTCAATCTTAATATCATACGCCTGCAATGTTATTTGGTATTTAGCAAGGCGTCCCACAAGATCCGACCTATGCATTAGGGATTTTAGGGGGGCATGGTCCGTGATCAACGTGATTGAAGCATTTGCGACATAGGGGTAGAAGTGCTTCATAGCAAATACGATTGCTAGTGCTTCTAATTCTATGACCGCGTAGTTCTTTTCATGCTTAGTAAGCGGGCGGCTACAGTATGCTATTGGGTGTTCGCTTGAAGTTTCCGGATTAACTTGAAGCAAGCATGCGCCGACACCGATAGTGGATGCATCAGTATGTATTAAATAAGGTCGACCTAAAACAGGGGGTACCAACACAGGTGCTTCTACCAAAGCGCGTTTTAATGTTGTGAAGGCTTCCTCATGATCCTTTTCCCATTTAAATGGAACATCTTTCGCTAAAAGATTGTTCAATGGGTTGGCTATCATGGCAAATCGTGGTATAAACCTACGAAAATAAGATGCTGCTCCTAAAAAGGATTTAACTGCTTTACTATCTACAGGGCGCGGTATATTAGTTATGCTGTCAACTTTGGATGGATTAAGGCGCGTGCCATTTTTACTAATTAAAACACCTAAATATTGCACTTCTGACTGAAAAAACGAACACTTTTCTGGGGTCAACTTCATGCCGAAGTCTTGTATGCGAATAAAGACTTCTTCTAAGTCAGAAAGATGTTGAGGTACGCTGGAACTAGCAATAATGATATCATCAATATACGCGAAACAACACGCTCGCAGTTCACGTATAAGGTCATTTGTTACACGTTGGAATGTTCCTGGCGCACCCTTCAAACCCTGAGCCATAACCGTAAATTGGAAAAGACCTAGGAATGAGGAGGGGTGAACCCGATGGAAAACGTGTTCCGGCAATCCCAGGAGGACGAGCTCCTCCTGGCCTATTTATCCCGGTCAATTGTGGAGAAATCCACCATTGAGATTCAGCGGGATGGTAGAGCGTTTTTAACTCTTCAAATGGTCGACAACACGACCATTAGTGGTAAGTGAAATAAACATTACTTGTTTCTTTTAATGTTTAAATCTTGAGATAGTGGTATTAAAGACGTTCACGTTTAGGTCTAATGGAGCGGAACGACGGAACCCCATACAACTGGGAAGAAATCGACGACGATAATGTTTGGAGAGGGGATAGGCCGGGATTGAAACTCCAATTAGGGCATATTACCATCATAAACCTAGGAGGATTTCTGCATATGCCTCCGAGGATGGCTGCGCTGCTGAAGCGCAGCGTTGAAAACATCAGCGGCATCTATTTCGTCAACCTTCTAGGGCTCGACACGGTCATCCGGGCTCTGGATGGCGCCAATAAACCGTGGAGGAATATGTAGGTATTTTTGTAGATGTGCCTTCCCATTTAATGTAACTATTTTATTTAATAAAGTTGTTGTTGTTCTGTTCTGGGCAGCTGGTATCAGAAAAGTGTGTAATACTGTAAGCAATAAATTTCCTATGCCTAATCCTGGGTGTCGTGATTGTAATCTAGACAGCTGTGCAATTATTCCATATATTGTAAGAAAGATCACCGAGTTTGAGCAGGCGCTAGCATTACTCTCGATTCGGTTGTCAGGTCGCTTTGCTTACACTTAGGCGTTGAGTTATGATTGTTTTGTACGCGCGCGGACAGTTGTCGCAGCAATAAGTTTGATAGGATTAAGGATTAGAGGTCGCCTGGCTGTGTTACATAGCGCGGTAGATTGCAAACATGTCTATCTGGCGGATTCCATCCTTCCAGATTGCATGTAAACACTAGTGTGGTAATAGTAGCTACAGTGCGAACAGTCCAGTCCAAAAGATGAGAAAAAACAATATTAATAAAGTATATACATAAGTACAAGTCATAAGACAATGCCTTTAACTGCTCACTAAATAACAACTTCTATGTAAGTATCCCCCAGAGATACTAACACAGGGCGCTACTAAATGATTATGTATAGAAATAGATATTTTACTTGCTTAAGCAAGAGTGTGTCCCACACTCATTAAAAAATAGAAAATAATTTGAATTTATGCGGAAATTTCCCTAGAAATAAGAATTATTACATTTGTATTGGTAACAAAAGAAAGTATTGTTTGCATATGGATAGTAATTTTCACTCGCGAGGCATTACTTATATGTTTCGCGCGTCATAATGTCTTGCCGATGGTAATTAGTCGACTATGCAAAACTAGGGGGCGCAAGGATATTTAGTAATTTATGATTTGATCATCAACAGTATGGTAAATTTATAGAAAGTGAGCGAGCTAATCAATTTAGTTATGTATATGTAATAGTTTTGGGACACTGGGACTGCTCGCAAGGACTTTTGTAGACAATATGTGAACATAATTTATATACACAACGTAAAAAGTTTTTTTTCAATTATTTTGGAACGATGTTCACATTTCTGAAAAAAATTATAACTATTTCACTATTTTTAATGCACTGCAACATTCTGGTAATTACCATATATAAAATAAAAATAAACAACTCACACGTCGCAGAGTGACGAAAGGGTAGGCGGGGTGGGCGAAGGGGGGGGGTGTAATTTTATTCCCAATGAAAAAAAATGTAGGGGTGTAAAGAAAAAGAAATCTACCTGGGACCTCCATGTCAGGTATAAAAGGTTAGCTACTCCCTTTATCCTGATGTGTAGCGGGTTACAAAGTCTTATATAAATATTTATTATCTACATAATATACAAGGGTGATGGGGGAAGGGGGGATGGTGGCAACCGGGTGGTGTCGGGGCCACGGGGGTCACTGCTCGGCTCGACTCTCGTCGGCCAGCCTCCGAACAGCTGATGCAGTCCAACTGCATCCCGACATGATAGATAAACACCGAGTGAACGGTTCAGCAACCATTTTCATTTGAGCGGCAATGAGGTAAATTTTATCAGGTCATGTCAAACGCTATAAAATAAAATACATCTTCAGGGAGAAGCTTGAGCTTAAAATGCGTGGAAAACATCAATGACAGTTATATTTAATGATTAATTATCATTAATGCATTAGCAAAAGGAAGGACGATGAATAACAACCACTTTAATTTTGACTATTTTCACGATATCGCTGACGAATTGAACTTCGTGTAGATGAGCTTCTATGCAAAGGTCCCGCACTTTTTGATCTTTTGTTGTTTCCACTTTCCGTGGACGGCCTCCGACTGTTTATCGAACCTGTACGCCGATGTTCGATTATGGACGAATGAGCTTCAGCACCCGAATGATATCTGAACAGGATTGTGGAACGATGACAACACACGCAAAAAAAGCTTCTAATTGTTCATTGTGGTCCTAAAACATGAACTCTCAATTACATGAATTCTCATGTAACTGAGAGTTACATGAATTCTGAGAATTAGCTTGAGGCATGTACAAGAGGAGAAGTTAGTCTTCTAAGGGCAATGGGAAAAGCGTGCACAGGGCGTATCAAGTGCAGCGTCGGGTGCATCAGTTCTCCGCTTCCACGCAGCCGCCCCGCCTGGACTCTGCGCCTGTTTCGCGAACATGCTCTTTGATCATTTTCCCACGAGCGTGGGGAAGGTGGAGCCTCAATCGATTGCAAATGATTAGAGAGCATGCTCGCGGAAGAGGTGCAGAGAGGGAGCGGGGATGCTGACGCACCTGACACTGCAATTGATAAGGCCTGTAGAGGCGACACTGGAATCCGCTTGAGAACAAACAGGAACTAATGGTGACGAGCACCTCCTATTTTCTGCAACTTACAACTTCATCACTTCCAAAAATCAACATTCCTCCCAGAGATCCTCCAAACTGCTAGAAAATCACAAAAACGCGAAGCATTCACTATCTGTGCCACAAATCTTGCTTTTTCACGTAGGATAGTAAAATGGACAGTTCTTACATGGTCCCTGTGGTGCTGGAAACATTCTCTAGAAAGCCATGGGTCAGAAAAAGAAACTTTTGCGCGTTCTATGACCACTCTGCGAGATAGGCTGGCAGTTTATCAAGAGCATTTGCTGTAAGCAGTACAGAGACACTAAGAACAGCTATACATAGGTACCAGCCTAACCAAAAGTCTCCTCTCTGTCAAACTAGAGACTTGAGAGGAAACGAAAAAATAAGACCCCGGCCAGAGTTCGCTCAAAAGTGCCCAAAAGCGCCCAAATTTCTCTAACCTCTCTTCACTTTCTGTCATCTCTTCTCCCACGAGAAAGTGAAGAGACATTACGAGATATTGGGCGCTTTTGTGCGATCTTGAACGAAGTCTGACCGGGCCCTAAAAATCCCTCGCGACATAATTATTCCAAATAAAGGCAGCTACTTTATTAAGCTACTGATGCCATATGCCGAAAGACTGCGCAAAGAAAGCGGCACCCCTCCATTTAACACGTTGACGACCTTGTGTATCCGCACGTATGCACGCCCTGACTCCCGTTTAGCATTTTCGTGCATCCGCGCATATGCACGCTAGTTTTTTAGGTGCAAACGAAAAGTTTTAAGGTAACTTCTATGCAGTAATACTATTGGTGGCCTGATTGTCTTACAGAACACAGGGCATCGCGGCAGCTGTTCAGAAGTTTTGGCCGCAAAATTGGTAATCAGTACGTTTTTGATGTAGTCAATACATGCTAATTACGTCTTCTCGAGAATGTGAAAACTCTGTATAGCTGTTTTGAAATCAAACAAAGATGAATCAGGCAAAAAACATCTGGTTTTACAACGCTTTTCTCGAAGAGCGATTCTCCAGATATAGGCATTGCATGGATTATTGGAGGGAAAATCGATGCAAAAACCTTGATTTATGTAAGTTCTGGTAAGGCTCTGTGATGTATCTGTATGTCTGAACAAAGTTCGCATGTTTTATTAATAAGTGACAAAAAGACTCCCACATAATGTTTCCGTGCATCCGCGCGTATGCACGGGCCAAAAGCGCGAAGGACGTTAGTGGGAGTTTTGCCCAAAATGGCGCGGTCGTCAACGTGTTAAACCGCAGCAATACTGACTCACGCACCGTAAATTGTGCATACTGATCCCTGACTTAAAAAACGAAATACTGTCGCTCAAAGGCATTTTTCTATGGGGGTACACCCAGTTTCTGATGCTTCACGCTGCTGCATATCGCTTCATTTTTTTCAGACAGCTAGGAATGGAAGAAGTCGGACAATTTTATAATGCACATAAATATACGTAATAAAGTCTAGCTTAACAAATGCTATAATAAATTAACTTACTTTGCCACACTCGCGGCGCGTAAAGTGTTGTAGGGACTTGCGACGAAAATGCTGCTAGGTGACCTGCGATGTAATGACAGCGTGGAACAACCGGGTATTCTATAACAAAGGTGGTACAGATTCAACAACGGAGTTTAGATCACAGCCATGCGAGCAGCCACTGCAAAATAAGCAGACATCAAACACACAGGAACTTACACTGGCGGATACAGTTTCATTTCGTCATGCGGACGAACAATTGATGAATGCGCATATTTATTTTCCAGGACAGGATATGCTGGAGGAGGGAGTGGCTGGTAAGGATGTTTCTCGAATATTGGAGGAATTGCCTGCAGCGACGGAACGTCATTTGAAACGGACAAAGCCGAATGGTTATGTGTAAACTCACACGATATGTAGTTGTTATAGTAGTAACCCTTGCCGGCTCATCATGTTGTTTTGTATGATGCAGATACATCTTGAAAAACTGAAACGCAATCTGTGATGTGTTTGTACCCAAAGCTATTGCAGCAATATATTCAAATGACTACTTATAATAAAGTGCTAATCTCTATCTTTTCGCGTATGTTTGTGTTTATCTGCCAGTCACCATAGAGTGGGTCGCAGAGAAGCTCCCGGGCCGCATTTTTGCATAACATACCCTATCAACATGCCGACCTACTATGGCAAGGATGAACCGATTGAATAAGAGGATCCTTTGTGCTCCATAGGGGTCCACGCGGCTTTTGATTGCGAAGTGAAAATGAAGCACTGACTAACACAAAACCGAATCATGAATGCACAGCAAAAGTCATGTTCGTATGGTCCCTCATATGTTTCCGAATGCAAAATAGAAGCTGTATTCGGCCTTCATATCATTCCGCCTGGCACTATCGGTAAGGTATTATTCGCACAACAAATGCATGGTAAATACTGACGTATGATGCTCGGTCTGACAAAAGCCAAACGCATACGCTAGCCGCTGCATGATCAGTGACATGTGATCTAACCAATCAGCAAAGTAGATGAAGCAAGTGGACAAGTGGCGCATATCGTCGATTAGTTGACTGCATGGACTGGACATCACTGCGGAACATGAAACGCTTGCCTCAGTGCAAATTCACCATTGTACAAGCTCTGCTCTCGCAACATTCGGCGCGTGGCCTGCAACGTTTGAGCAGTCCGTGCGGTTAACGAATGACGATAGCTTTTATGCTGCTTTTTGCTCGCATCTCCTTCCTGAGTGTCTTTCCAAGAACCTTCAGTACATGTGAAATGAGTCGTACGATTTGATTCTCTTCTATTGCAATACGCTCCACGGCGCAGATTTGACTTGAGAACATGGCGGTTTCTATCGATATGTGATATGCGCTAATCTCCATGTCCGTTCAATATGTTATAAGTTTTACTATGTTTGTCTCTCGTTGTCTGAGCAACTGTGCTTCCGCCATCATTTCATAGTGTACTAAGCGAAGAAAAAAGCAAAGAAAGAAGTCTTGAAGAAAATTGCTAGTTGCAGGCTGATTTTCGGGGGTATGCTGCACCTATATTGATTGTAACGATCAGCAAGCGGTTCTGTTCATATGAAAGGTCATGATTCATAATCCGCAACTTGTTTGAAGGCTTTAAGTAAAGACAAATCCAAACCTAATGCTCGAAAACGAGTATTATTAAACTCACACTAAAAGTGACTATTGAACTCACGCTAGAAGTGACGACAGAATACAAAATGGCTCCCAGGAGGAGAAGGGTGCCAAGAATAAAAAGTACAGGCCCAACGACTTGAATCGGAGGAGGACGCTGCTTACGATCAGAAGGCCATGTCCAAAATGGTGAATCATGCATAACGAAAAAACCCATGTAGACCTAAACAAACGAAGCTACAATAAGGTATTATGCACTCCTGCTCAATTTACCATAAGACTGCCTCCCAAGATCATGAAGACGCCAAACGCACAAACACATACTATAGAAGAAGACCCACGAAATTTCCTATAATGTGACAACCAAAAAAATTCTACAATGACATGCTTGATCTATAGCGTGTGATGCAAAGTTTTCGATGTCGCAGTGTAGTAATTAGTTACGGCTTTCATCAATTCATATTATGAAAATCTTTGCACAAGTCAAAATTGAAACAACATGATACAACATCTCACACTGCTGGAAAGAGAAAATGACTAGCCAGAATCCAATAAGTTACTGAGTACAAAGGAACTTACGTAGTGCGGTATGGAAAGAATCCGAAGTGAGCAGGGTAAAGCACATCCCATCCTTTTGGATAGTAGTAGAAGTAGGGATCTCTCTGTGCCATAGGCCCAAAATGAAGAACTCTCTGATTGCCTGTAATCATTACTCGAAGCTCTTACGCGCGCATACTCTTCAACTAACCAGTCCATTGCGACGGATCTAACTCCCCGGCACCAGTTTGTATGATCTCGTCTTTTTTATGGGTAACTTGATGCAATTTATCTGAAATTCAGCTTATATAAGAAGTTGCATTATACATCAATAGCTGTACATACTTTGTGCTCGCTTCTTTCGTTTCTGGTGTTGTCTTTCTGTCTGCTTCGAAAATAGCAGATGCGTTCGAACTCGCTCTTGCTGCCCATTTGCATTAGGCGCACGTCCACGCTTTCCGCCCATCTTAAAACTTCGTTGACGGCATAAATCAGCAACAAGCAAGAATTTCTTTTCAGTATTACTCAAAATGAAAGATAGGAAAGATCATCATAAAGAGCTCCTTGCTGCTCATTATTCTTCCCATCGGCGAGATATCGCACGCAGAGACTGACCGACTTTGCATCGGACTAAAATAGCTCGTGCAAGAGAGACAGCAGACGGCAAGAGGGATGAAAAAGCGCTCGATTAGCGAGATGCCAAACTTCCGTAGGGTTCCTTTATACTACGCCGCAGGACGCAGCAGCTTGCCGCAGCACACCGCGTCCTGTGGCGTGCGCCGCTGAAGTCAGTGAAAATATACGTCACGGCAGCACAGCTTCGCCGGATGTACATCCAAATTTGCTGCACGTTCGAGTTCTCCGAGAAGTTCCTTCATAGTGAGCGAGCTTAGATTTTCACTGCGACTGCCGACGCACGCTGCAGCACGCCGCGTCCTGCGGCGTGCTGCAGCGTGCGAAGTATGAACCCATAGTGACGCCCTGACTTGGTGCGATGGACCGCCTATATCTGCCCAGCCCGCCGAGGTTTTTCAAATATAGGGAGGTTTTTGCTTGTGTGGTCGATATGCAGTGATTGATCACAGAGTGGAAAAAGTGAACGAAGCTTAACATATGCGAACAAAGTTACCTAAACAAACAATGATCGTCTCCACGATTCGTGGAGAGGCAGGTTGCAACTTTCCCTGACTTCAAGGATGAACTTGTTGGACCTCCACGTCATAGCATTGTCTTTCGTACTTCCTCGCTATAAAACCGCCACGCTTTGAGCTGGCAAAATCCCGCGTCTACATGAATCGTGAAGTCGATGGTAGATACATGTCCTTGGAGAAAACAATGTGCATGTTATCAGGCGTCAACGTGGTGCATGGTACATGTTACCGTGGCATGTGCTGCAGCCCCCCCCCCCCCCCGCCAATGTAACAATGGGCTTACATGTGCCGCCCAAACTTGTTCTGCAAGCATGGCGAAGAAAATGGATCACGATATAACATGAAGGTCAATCTGCATGTCGTGTGCCATGTTGAACAACTTTATGTTTGAGGAATTTCTTCCTAGGAGATTTCTCAAACCTGGAAATTACATGCGCACAGAAAGGAAACTGTGATGCATTCTTTAAGGCGCACAACTGAAGCAGTGAGATTAATAATACATCTGATAGAAGATTTACATAGGACTCAGGGCACAGAGTTTCCAAACGCAGCCCTAGTGCACCCCACTTAGTTTGATTCACTTCGCTAACGAGCAGATCAGCAGATCGATTTGTTCTACACCAAAGTGGATGAAGTGGCTCAAATGGATTGAATATGGCAAACATATACATGTACTCCAATGGCATGCGCAAGGCAAGTCCGAATGATATTCACCTGCTTTCAGCTTTTCGTTCCCATTCCCTTCCCCTCACCTACCGGACTCCACAAAAATAATTCGTAAAGTTTAACACATTTGTACTCGAGGTTCGATGCTGCGTAGATTTATTAAAGGCAGTCCGGGCAGACATGAGATTTGGCACAGTCTGCCCCAATCTGGATCGGATACGGGTCAGGAGCAGGGTCAAGCTTGTGATGCGACTGTCGCAACGGGGGGTCGTAAGAGGGTATCTAAGGTGGGGGGGGGGGGGTCGTAAGAGGAGGTAGTCAGGATAAAATACCCTAGGTTCAAAGGGAATCAAAAAGCAGACAATTAGTTATGTTCTTTACAATAAATCTATAAGAAAGTGGAAATCAGAATAAAAAAGATAAAAAATCTGTAGAAGTTCTAAAAAAACATTTACAAGAGCTCAAAACACTTTTGAAGGATGTATCATTTGACAAAAATGCTAAATGTACCGATTGCCCTAGAAATCTTGCTTCTGAAGCTTTCCTGAAGTCTCACACACTCGACAAAACGAATGCCTTTACTAGCTGTGACCATCATAAAATTCTAAATCTTTTTGTAATGTTTTTTACGGGCTCATATGATTTACCAGTACTTTTGAGATGCTCCGCTATATCAGTGCAAGATTTGGTGTTATTTTGTGAACTATGGATTTTCTTATGATTTTATGTATGGTAGCAAAAAGTCAGGAAAGGGGGTCATATCTGGGTCGCATCTAAATTTCTTCGGAGCTATTGGAGCTTGTTGGCTGCAATTCTGCTGTAATATGAGGCAATCCTCCTACTTTGCCTCATAAAAATTGCAGGCTGTTTTATAACTTCTCTGGTATGTTACAAAATTTTAAGCTCAAAAATCCCATTTTTTGCTTTTTAGGATCGCATCTAAATTTGCGAGAGTCGCATCTAAATTTTTTCGAGCTTACTGCTCCTCAAGAGCTGAAACTTTTTCTTTGGATAGTGTGGGCACTATACTACAGAACCTGTACTTTGCAGCCTCTCAGTCTTTTCGTGGCCTTAGTTACGAATTTTCAAACTACCGTGCTCATGCACGTTTTTGACGTCGTTCTGGACGGCGCTCAAGCGGTTTTTTTCGCGGGAAAAACTGTGGAAGAGGTGGGAAGTAAGCTTCTTAGTCGAAAACATCTTTTGTAGTTCAAGAATGTCATTTTTTCTCTATGCAAAAATTTGTGTCGCCTACGGGAATCAAATTTGCTGGCCTGAATTATGCCTGAAAATTCAAAAAAAAAACTTGCAGATCCTCAAACATTATTGAAGGTGTGTATGTGTGCTACAGATGCTGGACGCACCCATTGGCCAAAAAATTCTGCTTCTGAAACCTCACTGAACTTCTCCCGCAGGGGGTGGGGGAACGAAAGCCGCCAGTTTGGGCCGCCTTCGCGGACTGCGGGAGGAGTCGTACCTTCAAGGGGGAGGGTCGTAACTGAAGGTTCCGGATCGCATCAGCACGCTTGACCCTGGTCAGGAGTCACGATTTTTCACGAAGCGACGCCGCAACGCGACGTTAAGCAGTACAAGCCTCAGCTCCCGTCGGTACTCCTGCCGCAATGTTATGTACAGTCGATATCAATTACGTACTCCCTTTCGCATGGGAGCTACGCATGCGCAACGCAAGGGTCCAGCATGCTGACCTCCAATCGATAAAGCCCACTTGAATGTCCGAGTCATACGTGCGCGAACGTGGCGCGAAGCTCACTGCATTTACGGAAAAGGGAGCACGGACTGTACATATGGCATCGAGTCATGTATCTGCCGCCACCCCCCCCCCCCCCCCCCAATCTCTACTGTGGCGCCTTGCCACTTTAGCACCGGAGAGTTTTTGTGAGGCACAAAATTTGGGCGCAGGACAGGCCGCCGCGCGCGGTGTGACTCCTGATCCGGAGCCTCTGGATCAGGCCGAACCGTCGCCTAAACTGCGCGCTAGCAGCGCCAGAGGTTTACGCTGCATACGCACGCTGTCGCAGAGAGCGAAGAAATTGAAGGTAGCGTACACAAAAAATTTCACCTTCGATGTTTTTGTCATTCTGGGGCCTTTCCGTGCCGCTGATTACAGTTGTGACGTTGAAATCCTCCAAAAGTCCCAAAACCCCGATTTCCGGAGACCCTTTCTTCAAAGGGAAGACGAGTTTCCAACTGCTCGGCCCCGTCGGCATGCCAGCAGCTGCAACAGCATGACAGCCTGTAGTTGCAACTGCAACTGCTGCGTATGATGTCGTGGTTCGTCGTCCGGAGGAGGCGGACTGCAAAAAGCAACTACACCGTTGCAACTGGAGTTGCAGGCAACAGCAGTTGCAACGGAAACTGCAACTGCAACTGCAGCTTGCGCTGTCGTGGATTCGTCCGGAGGAGGCGGAGTGAAAGAAAAGGGGCGGAGTGAAAGAAAATTGAGGGGGGTTTTCTCCGCTCAGAAGCAGCATTGGGAGACCGGACCAACGCAGTTGGTCTTCTTCTGGGCCTAGTATATACACGGTATAAAAAGATCTAGAAAATTAGGTAACTTAGGTTTTGGGTGTACGCTGCCTTTAAGGAAGGAGCAGACTAGTTAGCCGTAGACGTGACGCAATAGCTTGCGACATGGACTCTCGCCATGCCAATCTTGGCCTATCTGGGATTGAAGCAGACTGTATTATTCCACTTAATACAACGCAAACACTGGAAATCACGAATTTCGCTGAGAATTCGTCTAGGGTACTGATTTCGAAAACGATATCCATTCCGCGTGGTGGGACCATTTTGAGGGGTTACGGTAGGCATGCGGTATGGAGTCAAATCTCAGAATTCGCTAAAACTTTGCATAGGGAGGTTACTCGACATGCTGATCACGAATTTCATATTCAATCCCCACGAAAACGCCATATGGTAGGTTTACGGTAAGGTTATGGTATGGGGCCGATTACGGTACATATGGTAAGGAGTCAAAACCGTAGATATGCCTGATGTGTGGGATGTTATCTGATGTGCTCATCACGAATACCTCACCCATTTCGCTTATAAGGCCTTCTCGTGGATTTTTGGGATCTTAGTTGGTCTGGAAAGTGGGTGAGATGCTTACCTAAGCGCTGCAAATCGCCATAAATCCACAACAAAGGCTACGTTCATACTGATCCAGAATTTCGGAAACAGTTCCAGCACAGCGCTAGGTTTGAGCGCGGTGGTGGAACTGTTCCCGAACTTCCGGATCAGTATGAACACAGCCAGAATTGATGTAACGAGCGAGCCTGATACTGATATCAGCATGCTTGAAAACCCCTCTAAGCAACGTTTTAAGGTTTGAATTTTTGACCCGTCCGTGTACCTGCCGTAACTCGAGAAAAAGGCGCTACCGTACAGAGACAATATGATATCCATGTCAAGCGTGCCAAACAACCCTGTAGACCATATTCCAGCCAAATCTAGATTTTGACTCCCTACCGTAGTCATACCCGGAGAGGTTTTCGTGCGGAAAAAGTGTGATAATCGTGATGAGCGTGTCGATTAACTCCCCTACGTAAAGTTTTAGCGAATTCTGAGATTTGGACCGCATATCATATGCCTGACGCAACCCTTCAAAAAACCCTTCCACCCCCACCACGCGAAATTAATAACATTTTCGTAATCAGCAGGTCGAATAACCCCTCTGGGCGAATTTCCAGCGAAATCCGTGACTTTCACTTTTTGCGCTGTACTGACAATGAGTGGAATAGCGCAGAAACTGTAGCGTACAGGGGGCTCCCGCCCTGCTCTTACCCATTTGCCATTGCACCACTTTGCCCTTAACAAATTGCATCAAGTGCACTGATACCCAACATTGGCCCATTCTGAATGTTCTGCTTTAGTAATGCGTTCATTTTTGAGTCAAAACGTTCATAACTTGGCGCGAGGCAGATGTCGAAAACAGCTTTGGAGTCAGTGTTTAATGTTTCTTAAAATCATATTGAATTTATCTGAAAGGGCTACTTCGACTGAAAATGCTCTCGTTATTAGTAATCTAATCAACTCACCATGATTAATCAGCGATGGCTCCTCCACTGAACATTCCTCATAATTACGCAGAGAAAAGTGCAGGAAATGAACAGGATGCAGGTAGGTGTCGATGCGAGAGATCCTAGTGATCGGAGCGTAGCAGGCGGGATCCAACGGCATCTTCTCGTTGTAGCCTCGGGCTTGCTGTGATAATTCCTCCGTAGTGCAAAGCATATGCCCCGTCTCTGGAGATGCTCAGCCCGAGTGTGAGCGAACTCGTCCGCACACTACGTTCGGCCGAGTTGCCCGGATAACACGACCGCCCGTTCGTCCCGTGAAACGTTGTCACGTGATAATTGAACATTCTTCTTTCGAATTCTTTAGCCTTCGCAATTTTCGCTCTCATCTCTCTTCCCGGTCATGTATTCCACTACCTTTTCACTTGAGACTTCCTTCCTGCATTTGATTCCTGCTTAGTCACGTAAACCATTGGTCGCGTACAAAATTAATAATTTTAGTTTGTAAGTGGTGTTTTATTAATGTTCTGCGTATTTCAAAGCTGTTACAGTCTTAGAGCGTGCTCTTTTCATTGAGGAACAGCTAATACGGACTTCTTATTACTTCACCGTCATTTGTTCATATTGGATTGCGCTTGCAAGTGAAAAAAAATTCACGGCAAGCTCAAGGGCAATTTTCATTTAAAGGCGAAACCCCGGGAAGGTTGCTCGCACTGAGATTTCATTGCCTTTGAAAGTGGACGCCCTCGGCCACATTATGAAAGAACTACAGTATCAAACTACTTTGTCGGCCAATAAATAATTTCGTTTGAACATGCAATTTCGAAGCTTTATAACAATTCAAGTAATTGTTATTTGGCTATGCTTCTTTGTGAGGGGGTAGCCTCAAATCTCTATTACCACATATTTACTGCATAGTTAATACATTGTGAGAAAACACAGTTATGTATAGCAAACTTTTTAAAATCACTCGCCTACTTCTAACTTTCGTTTTCAAAGTAATTGCACAGATGATTAATTTGGTTGCTGGATACACATGACCTTCGGCTTTATGGCGAGCCACCACAAGAGTGCGACATGCTGTTTGAAAATTCCTGTAGCCAAAAATGTGGAAATTTCTGAGCATTTGCTCGCGGAGGTCAATTTTTGGGTGTCCAGATCGCTTGAATTTGACCTTCTGTAGCCATGCAAATGGTTGGAAATATCAAAATTGCATGTGTGTACCATTCGTGCACTTCACACTCAATTTCAGATTATTTCTGGGGTATGATTTTTCGAAAGTTTGAAAAAAAACCTGTCAAACTTTTGAAAAATCTGGCTTTCCTTCTTTCCTGCACCCTTTGATCAACAATTCTTTTTGACCAAACAGAGTCAACCATCCGATTTTCCTTGATTTATCTACTTTTTTCAATGGTGGCATACATATATACATGAATTTGTCTGTGATCTAACGTCGAAAACGACCAAGATTTTTTTAGCCAACCTAGTAGAAGTGACATTCGCTGGGCTGCGAAACTTACGCCTCTGACATCGTTCAGGCCGCGCCAGTACTCATATTACAGGGCTTAGAAAACCTGTTTCTTGCTGTGTCAGCTTTAAAGTGGTTTTTCGGTAACGGACAAGGGATGTAAGCCAATTCGCAACTAATACTTTCCACACGAGTTCCGCCGCGTGTGACACACCCTACAGCGTCTTTTGCAAGCCAGTTGGAGAGGGGGGGGGGAGATTTGCCGTGTTGTGCATGTTTTGTTCAGACAAGTCATCAGGGTAACTGTTGGAGATTGCCGTGTGAACAAACTGTCTTCCACGACAAGCCCAACTAGCGAATTAGCTGAACTGAGTCTTTGCTCGGACACTGCCTTCAAGGGCAATTCTTACAAAATAGAACCATGCCAGATTTGGATGGCGCTAGACAAGTGCACCGCAGCCCCCCTCCCCATCCTCTGCTAATTCACTCGCTAAATCCTGAGATTGCGCTTCAAAAGAATATCTTGTGGTGTGAAGTCGTATATGTTTTAGGTGGTTTCGTGAAATCTTGTCTAGCAAAGCTTGTCTCTGGTCAGTAAACCTTATATTTCAGGTTTCCACATTGCGATGTCTGGTCTGGCTCGTAGCGGAAACCTCGCAACGAAAGTGGTTTGTTCACATTCATAATTGACGTAAATGAATATTTTTATTCTTATGAATTGTAGATATGCGGGTCACAACAACATACTAATTTTGTGGTTGTCACAGCTCCATCCATGGTAGGTTGTTCTTTCTTCGTTTATTTTTACAACACTTATTGTGGGACAAGAACCATGAGGTCTCAAAACTAAGAACAATGCCATCTGTGAAGCACTTCAGATCACGCCCATCAGAGATCTTCTTCCCGATGTCAGCAGTGTTGAATCTCACCAAGCATTACTGAGTAAAAGCGCACATCCCCGCGGCCTACTTTCTTCGAATTTCGCGGTGAAAGGAATAAATGGTGAGTGGAAACGGTTTTTATCCAAAAGCTATCAATTGATCTACGTGCAGTTGCATTTTTTTTGCTTTTTCTTTTTATGTTTTCTATATCATTTTCTCCTTCTCCCGCTAAGGTAGTCCTTGTTTTCAATGTAAATTTCTATTTCGTCTTTTCGTTGACCGCACGGACTACTCAAACGCTGCGGACCACATGCGAAGCGGCTGAAGTGTTGCGAGAGCACGACTTGTGCAGCGAAATTGTATTTGGGTTGAAATTGTATTTATTATGTTTTCTATATCATTTTCTCCTTCTCCCGCTAAGGTAGTCCTTGTTTTCAATGTAAATTTCTATTTCGTCTTTTCGTTTACCGCACGGACTACTCAAACGCTGCGGACCACATGCGAAGCGGCTGAAGTGTTGCGAGAGCACGACTTGTGCAGCGAAATTGTATTTGGGCGTTTAACCTCGAGGCGCGTGCTGCGCAATGATGTCCAGTCCATGTGGTCAACGAATCGACTATACTTCCATGGGTACAGCTCTACGCGATCTCGCAAATTGGCATCGCAGCGACAAGCGGAGTTGGACGATGACGCAACCTTCGTTCCACTTTTTTCTATCATGATTTTTTGTATAGACGTTCATTGTCGTGAGCTTCAAGCTCTGTGGGACTACATCCCAGGCTACACTTGTTAGATGATTTGAAAAGACCGCACTTGATACTTTCATTCTCACGTTAAGTTATCGCAGTTGTAATTCTGAGTCCTGTTAAAATATAAAAGTGGGTATGCTGAGTGTGCTGATGTCTGCTTCTAAAACTTCGCGTGAATTGTTATGGCCACCCTCATCTGAGCTATCAGCTTTCAGTGTCATCTCGCCGTCTTGCTCATACAGATGTCAAGTTTCCCGATATGTCGGAGTATCGTCGAGAGTCGTCTATGGATCTTCAAAAGAGCGCTCGTGAAACTGAAGATCAGCGGCGTTCGCTGGCGCATACTGCGTTCTATGGAGGTACGTTTGTGAACTTTCTTCTGTGATATCTCAGGATTATGTTTCTGTTTCATCGTAGCTGGCGGAGTGATGTCACTTTGGGCTGGTAAAGAGATCGTCCAGACCTTGGTATCTTTCAAGGTAAGTCGGTAAACTCATATTGAGCGGTGGTACTAATGCTAGTAACTTAAAGGCACCATCCGGGCACGATTTCGGATGGAAGTTTTTTCGCTTACCTGGGCTTATCCTTCCCGCTGGTTCCGAAAATGCAGTTCGGAGAGCACGAAAATGTCGAAAACAGACTTTTCCAGGAGCTTAAATTTGAATTTTGTCGCCTGCCGCCTAGGTTAAGACGCGGAGTCTATGGGGCCCTACGCTCTTGACTGTGTGCGGTATGCGCACTCTGGCTTATCGGACTAATTCGTTCCCGGTCGCCACTTCTGAAGCGGGTTCCCCGCTTCAGAAGCAAATTGGTGCATTGCCAATTTGGCAAGAGCCTTACCAGGACGGGCGTCCTGTACTTCACATTTTCGTTTTTGCCCGGACGCTGCCTTTAAGTTCTAGCTTCTATTCTATGAGAGCGGTGCAGGTCATCTACAAGTCAATTGTCGCTCTCTGCAGCGAAATATCTTTAGGCAATGGCTGCTGATCAGCGTGCTCTTGCATCTATAGAAATCAGCATGGATGATATACCTGAAGGTCAAACAAAAACATTTGAATGGAGAGGAAAACCCGTGTTTGTGAAGCACCGTACCCAGCAGGAAATCGATAGGTAGGTTTCAAACTTTGATTTCTTTTGAAGTGTTATGGTTCCTGACATCTGCAATCTCGATCGCACTCTCGCTGCCTGCTGCATTATGACCCGTCTGCAAGAAAACAAATCAACTCACCACTCTCTCCTTCATGTTTGAATGGTACTAGTAGACTATTGAGAGTGAAGTGTTCAAATGCTTTCCTCATACAATTTGGTTACTGGCGATAGCACACCTACTTTAATTAGAGCGGCAATCGCAGAATCTTGCTGCAGCCATTCTATCGTCCGATTGAAGTTCGCTGCTGAGCAGCAATCTATATTCTTTAACATTGTCAGGATACTAGCGTCCATATGTGCAGATTCCTTCTCCCCTCCCCCCCCCCCCCACAGTTGCAGGGAACGCTCGTGACGCTCTGCCTCTGCGTACCTCTCTGTGTGTCTTATGTTTTGAAAAATTCCGTTTTTTAACCCGGACCAAACACATACGCTTCGGGCAGGCGAGTGTCATGCTAGCCCTTGTTATAGATCGATATCGAATTATTGGATTTTCTGCAAACTTTGGGCTAAGGGGCTAAGAGCTGGTACTGGGGGTAAGTGAGAATGCTGAATATGAATACTGACACGAAACTTTTTCAAAACTTTTCTATTGCTTTTATCGATTTTATCGATTACAAACTTCATGCGCGCTGGGATTTGGTACTCGAGGTAACGGAGCTGATTACCAAAGTAACATTGTTTTGTGCAAATTACCATACTTATCTTTTTGATCCATTCTTTTCGCAAAGTCAGCTAGGACGCTGAATTTTGGTATTCACCATGGCAAAACCATAGTAAACGAGCATACCGATGGCAAAACATAATGGACTACGTACTGATGCTCCTCACACGGCATTGATGTGGCATGTATTAAAGAGTTTCTCCTGAGAAAGCATTCATAAAATTTTTCTGCAACAGCAGTGTTTTTCATTAAAAGCAACACTTTACACTCTCTCTAATTCGACCAATGTCATTTCCGTTTTTTTAGGGAGAAAGCGGTAAATGTATCGGACCTGCGACATCCTGAGCACGATGATGAGCGTGTCCAACGAGATGAGTGGTCTGTGGTGATTGGAGTGTGCACTCACCTTGGATGTGTACCAATCGGTTAGTCTAGTTTTGTGTGGATTACTTTCGGTTTGATTGATGTTTTAGAACTAAGGGAGAGTTGAAGTTGCGAATGCATCATTTTCACATAGTAGTTCTACCTCTCTTTTCTTAAAGGCAGCGTCCAGGCAGATCTGGACCTATGGGGCTTTTACATGGAAAGTACTTTTGGGGCCCTAACTAAGGCACTGCCCAAGCGGCAGCTCAGGTAGTGCTCTAATGGCTGAGATATTTCCGTCGAAACTGGCCCCCGCGAACGTATTCGCATGGATTCATGGCAGTTTCGCGCCCGGATCCACGCTTTGCGCCATGGATCCATGCGAAACACGGTCGCGGGGTCCAGTTTCGAGGGGAATATCTCAGCCATTAGAGCACTACCTGAGCTGCCGCTTGGGCAGTGCCTTAGTTAGGGCCCCAAAAGTACTTTCCACGTAAAAGCCCCATAGGTCCAGATCTGCCTGGACGCTGCCTTTAACACGTTTTGAAATGTGCTCGTTTTGTTCAACAAAATCATGATAGTGAGCTCAAGGTGGGAAAACAATCGCAGTAGGTGAATCGCAGTAGGTGAACTGGGACAGAGAGCTGTTCCACTAGTCTTGCAATGCTTGTACGCTCAAAAGTTGTGTGCTTATCATCAATAGAATTTTTGCTTTAGCATGTACGATGCGGGAGAGCGGTCGTGGGGTCCCGCGCCGACGAACGGTAAGCGAAGTTCGAGCGCGCGCCAATTTGGGTTGCGCGCGCCGGTTTAAGGGCTATTTTCTGGCCCAGGAGGAACATCAACCACTCAGACAAACGGCGGGAAGTTCCGGCGAACATGCGAAAAATGGCAAAGTTCCGGAGGACCTTGTTCACCATTGGGATATAGAAATGACAAAGTTCCCGTGAATTATGACGTCGAAGATGCCGCGGATCCAAAGTTCCGGTGAAAGAAGCTCTTGGGAACTTTGGCAAAGATGACAAAGTTCCCCTAAAGCCGGACTGCGCCTGGAGGTCAGTGGGATGTACAGGAGCACCACCATAGCAATATCATCCAGAGCGCGAATCTCCCGGGGCACTACCTCTAACCTTACCGTATCATGCCAACATTAGAAAAGATTGACCCGTATGAATTTTTGGTCTATATTGTGGAATACTGTTTTGGATCACATTATTACGGCGTACTGCTCGCGGATTGTAAGTGTTGTGTTCGTGAACAGCTTCAGCGGAGACTCTTTATCTGCCTTCCAGTGACAAGCAGTAAAACTGAAACGTCTCTACGAACTAGGCTGCTATTTATAGCTTACTTATTTACATAAACAGATCATAATGGAAAACATGAGATCGTTCTATCAACTCATTTTCTACTTAGCAGCCTTCACTAAAATAGTCACAACACCTCCCCCAGTAGGGTAGTTGCAACTGAAACTAGCCTACTACATTTGTAGGTACAATATACATCGACAATCAGATCACATGAGCTGCCGCAGAGTCTTCTGGTTCTGATTCATTCTCTGTGACCATAGGCTGCATAGATGATTAGTGGCTCGTCTTCGACAGAGGTGAATTCAATGCTTGTTGTAAGTGTGGAGGAGTCTCTTCGTTCACATACTTTTCGGTTATGCTTTCATTTCTTCGTAGGCCTTCATCTTCTGTTAGGACATCTAACAGTATCGTCAAAGTCTTCGATTGTACTGGATCTTCTTCTTCTTTGCCTCGATGGCGAAGCTGATTAGCGTGCTTCTTGTATAACTCTTCGCCAATCTTCACTTCGTAGTTCACCCGTCCGATACGTTTTACTACGATGCCTTTGATCCAACGAAAATGAGGTGGTTTCCACTGCTTCGCGTAGACCAAATCGCCAGCTTCAAATTCTTTTGGATGTACTCCATGTCTTCGATCAAATTGGTCCTTCATATATTCGCATCTGTTTCTTCTAGCAAGCGGCTCCTCCTCTGTTTCTGATTGTGGTACTAATTGGCTGAGTCTCGTGCGTAATTTCCTTCCAAGGAATAATTCCGCTGGTGTTTTGTCGTTCAGAGTTGCATTTGGTGTTGTCCTGTACGCTTGTAACAAGATATTCAGAGTTTCTTCAGTTGGCCTCTCCTCCCCCTCTAGCTTCTTGATTCCGCGTTTTAGGATATCAACAAAGCGTTCTGCTTGTCCGTTCGACTGGGGATGATAAGGAGCAGTCTTTATGTGCAAAATTCCTTCTTCGTCACACATGCTCTTGAACAACTCTGATGTAAACTGAGTTCCATTGTCGGTCACAATAGTTTGCGGTAGTCCATATCTGGCAAACATTCTCTTCAAAACCTTCACAGTCTTTGTCGCAGTAGTATTGTTCATCTCGACCATTTCGGGCCATTTACTGTAAGCATCAACTATGACCATGTAGTTGAGTCCTCGTATGGGCCCTGCGAAGTCTATGTGAATCCGTTGCCACGCCGAGGTTGGGGTTGGCCATGCCTCCAGTGGAACCTTAATAGGATTCTTGGCCGCTTCTTGGCATTTAGTGCATCTCCGCACTACATCTTCGCAATCCTTATCAATGTTCGGCCAGTATACATGACTTCGCGCCAACTTCTTCATCCTTACGATTCCTGGATGTCCAACGTGTAATTCCTTTAGAACTTTCGACCGAAGCTTGTTAGGTATAACAACTCGTTCTGCCAACATTAGGCACTGTCCTACAATAGAAAGTGCTTCTCGTCGACTGTGAAAAATTGCTAACTCTCCTCCAGCCTTTGGCCATTTTCCACTCTTCACGCAAGTCATCACTCTCATCAATATCGGATCGTCCCTCGTGTATGTTTCTATGTCAGAACTCTTCAAAGGCAATCTTCTTACACAGTTTTTCAACGTTTCGGTCACGTCGTTCTCGACAGCGGCTACCACAACGTCTTCTTCTGCATTCTGATTCTTCTTCATCAATCTTGAAAGTCCATCTGCTTGCCCAAACTGAGTGGTTTTGACGTATTCTATGTCAAAATCGTATCCCAGAAGAATCGTAGCCCATCTCATAAGTCGATTTGCGGAGTAAACCGGAACTCCTTTCTTTTCGCTGAAGATGGCTAACAAGGGTTTGTGATCCGTTAAGAGTAGGAATTTCCTGCCAAAAATGTATTTATGGAATTTCTTCACTGCGAAGACAATTCCTAATGCTTCTTTCTCGATCTGTGAGTAATTCTTCTCTGCGTTTGTGAGAGATCGTGAAGCATGCGCAATTGGTTTCTCTGATCCATTAGAATATCTGTGCGATATCACGAATCCGATTCCATAGTCGCTTGCATCTGCTGCTACGACTATCTTTTGCTTTGGATCGTAGTGAGCAAGGTTCAGCTCATTTGTTAGTGCCCTCTTCAATTTCACGAAAGCTTCTTGCTGTTTAGATTTCCATTCCCACTTCGTGTCTTTTTTCAGTAACGCATCTAATGGTCCACGAAGATTTCTGATGTTTGGCATGAACATCGCGTAGTATGTAATCATGCCAAGAAAGGCTCGTAACTGTCCTGCATTCTTCGGCTCATCCATGTTTTTTATAGCTTCGATCTTCTCCGGATTTGGTCTCCTGCCATTTCTATCGACGATAAAGCCAAGATAGCGTATCTCTGGCTTTCCGAAAGCACATTTCTCCAACCGAATCTTGAACCCATACTCTGAGATTCTTGTGAACAACGCTAGCAGATTCTCCATGTGCTCTTCTTCAGTCTTTCCACAAACCAGAATATCATCCAAGTAGCTTGCTACACCTCGTAAACCAGCTATCATCTTGTTCATAATCTGTTGGAATATTCCGGATGCAGTTTTGATTTCAAACGGCAAGCGATTGTATCGGTACAGTCCTCTGTGTGTGTTTATCACGACCAATTTCTTCGCTCTTTCGGGTAGTTCTATTTGCAGATACGCATCTGAAAGATCAATCTGCGAGAACACTATTCCTCCATTGAGAGATGCGAAGATGTCTTCTGGTAGCGGCAAAGGGTAATCGTACGACTCAAGTGCGCTGTTAAGTCCAGTTGAGAAGTCTGCACATATCCTCAACTTTCCATTTGCCTTTCTTACACATCTATCGGAGCTGCCCATTCGCTATGTGTTATTGGCGTTATCACTTTCATTTCCAGAAGTCTGTCCAGTTCCTTCTCGACAGCTTCAAGGGCAGAATGGGGAACAGGTCTGCAAGTCTTAAACACTGGATGGAAACTTCCACCGACCTGCATGTCTGCTTTCTCCTTGGTGCATAGTACTAGACCATCTTTGCATACTTCTGGATAAGCATTTTTCAACTTGTGCGCGATAATATCATTTTGGTCGGCATTCACATTTGCGATCATCCTTTCCAAGTGATAGGTCATCTCTTCATTCTTCCGTATCCAGTCGATACCTAACAAAGAATTTTGAGGAGTAACATACGCGTAGCCTTCACTCTTGGATCCTTTTAGCTCGAAGTTGCACCACAGTTTGCCATATATCTTCATAGAGTTTCCACTGGCGTCCTTGACAGAAGCATTCGTCTTTTCAAGGTTTGGAGCACCCATTTTCTTCCAGACTAACTCGTTCAACAGCGTGATATCCGATCCTGTATCAAGCAAAAACTTTACTGACTGACCATTTACTTTCGTTTCCAGATATACTCGTGGGGAGTTTACATCCATCGTGGCATTTGCGATCTTCACTACATTCCGAACATGTGGATGGGTTGCAAGTCTCGTTTTCTTCTTTCTTCGCTTCATTCTGATGTTGCCACTGCTTCCAACATTTCTTGCATTGGTACTTGCTTGGTCAGCTAGATTTCTTCTGTTGATAAGTTCACAGAACTTTTCTTTATGCCCTGTTGTCTTGCACTTCTTGCAGAACCACAACTTTGCTTTGCAATCTTTGAACAAATGCTGCCCAAAACAGTTCCAGCATTCCAACATCCTGCGTTCTTCTTTGACTGCTTCTACCACTCTCGTGTTATTTCCAGCTATAGTCTCGCTATCCTTCTTCAAGCTAAGAAAATTTTCGCATTCTGAGTAGAGTTCTTGTAGGGTCATCTTATGTTCGGCTTTGTACTCCTTGTCCAACACTGCAATAAGTCTTTGCCTTATTTCAGCTTCCTTTGGACTCTTCAGTCCGAGAATCCATAGTAGGCACTTGATTCCGTCGCTATCCAGTTCATGGATCTTCGCTTTTTCACAGGGTTCGTTAACTCTTCCAGTATACAAGAGGTAATCTTCGAACTCTTTCTTCTCCAGCTTTAGACATTGATACCTTAGTGTAAACGGCGAAGTCTTCATATCGAAAAGCTGCTTCAGGATTGAAACTGTCTCTTCGAATCCTATAGCGTTTACTTGTCTTGGTAGTATGTGTCTCTGATACTTTTCAAAGTCTTCTCTGTCCAACTTTTCACAGAGAAGTCGCACTCTAGCACTTTCCGTTAGCGGCTTGGCATCTTCGATGAACACGTCCTTGTAGCGTGCGTACCACTGGCTGAAGCTAAGGTTGGCTTCAGGATCGAACGTAAATTTCTCGATATTATTGCTCAAAGCGCACATAAGATTCGGCGCATCTGCTGCGGTACTGCTCTGCCCAGTACCGGCGCCCTGGCCACGAGCGATGGCCTCAAGAATGGCTTTCATCTGTTCTTGGTGCAGGCGCATCTGCTCCTGCATGACTTATAGCACGCTCTCCAATGGAGAAACATGCTGTCTGCCCTCCATAGGCCTGTCGTCCATCGAACTGCTGCCCTCCATCAGTCTATCGTCCGTCATTCCGCCGTCCATCGCTCTGCCGTCCGTTGTTCTGCCATCCGTTGAAGAAGTCTTCGTCTTCTTTCTTCTCGAGTCTCCGCTGCTCATCCTGATCGCCAGTTTGTTGTGTTCGTGAACAGCTTCAGCGGAGACTCTTTATCTGCCTTCCAGTGACAAGCAGTAAAACTGAAACGTCTCTACGAACTAGGCTGCTATTTATAGCTTACTTATTTACATAAACAGATCATAAGGAAAACATGAGATCATTCTATCAACTCATTTTCTACTTAGCAGCCTTCACTAAAATAGTCACAACAGTAAGTCCACACGCAAGGATGCGCATTTAATGCGTAATTCCTACGCATTTTGCTTTCTAAGCGATCACTCCTTTTGATGCAATAGGCATCTTCAGTCCAATCAAGGTTGGAGTACACCAAGGTTCAGTTCTCTCTCCCTTGCTCTTCATCACTGTGATGAACGCCGTGATGGAACCGCTCACGTGAACCCCCTTGGACACTTCTCTACGCAGATGATGTGGTCTTGATAGCAGTAGCAGAAAGAAGCTACAAGACGAGGTGCAAAACTGGAAAAACAGGCTAGAGTTGTATGACCTGAAGCTCAACACCAGAAAGACAGAGTATATGGAAATGGGGAAACAAACTTCAGGTACCATAAGCATCGATGGTGAATAGCTAAAGAAGACAACGTCATACCAGTACTTAGGCAGTCATATCTCAGGAGGGAGGCTTAGGAGGTCGCAGGCAGGATGAACACAGCTTGGATGAAGTGGAGAGCCTTAACAGGAGTTCAACCACTTTAAAGGCAGTGTCTCACCAAAATTGAGGTTGCGCGGGTTCACATGATCTACTAGAAGTCCCCGCAAATAGGCCATTGTAACAAGTTCGACTTGATTTGGCCCCCTCTGCGCCGAGAAAAATGAGCTCAAAGTGGTACGCGGAGAGGGATTTGGTACGCGCGGGCGATTTTTCCTGTCTCTCCCTTACGCGTTTTAAAGGCACCGTTCACCCAGAACTCGACTTCCAGATTTTTGTCGTTTCAGGGCCTTTTCAGGTCCCTGATTCCATATATGAAGTCGAGAATGCGCGAAAACCCCGGCAGTCTCCGTTCCGGAGAACCCACAGGTTGGCTTTTCGGAAGGGTGATTGGATGGGCGCGCACAAATGGGCGGGCATGGATGGGGGTCCTGTGCGTCTTCGCTATTCTCCGAAGCGATTTTCTCGCTTTCGAAGCGGCATCTTAAGCCGCAATATGGGCATTGGTTTGATAGGGGCCCTACTATTATATGCTGCCAAAAGCTCAACACCCTCAACTTAGGTGGACTGTGCCTTTAACATGTCCCTCCACTTTGCGTCCGCCTTCACAGTGCTGCTGCCACTGTGGCGAAGGCTAGAGTCAGAAGCACAACTCGTCCACGTTGCTACCACAGGGCCTCCAGAAAACGGGGTTTTTGAGAGATTCGTAAGGTTTTAACCCCCTACAGTGTTAGACGGGATCCGATAGGCTTGTAATCTGCGAAAATCTCAGCAGCGAATTTTTGGTGAGACAGTTGTAATTGAATCAGTTCGAGAGATCATGGTGGAGGCATTATCCGCATCAAAAACTTCAGACGAGAGCAAATACGACTGACTCCTTGTTCGCATTTGACTGGAATTTGCGGTTTTCTGACTGTTCCCTGCTGTTTTGAACTTAGTATGGCTGGGTTATGACTAGGTTCTGTTGCTGATCCTGTTTCTGCTAATTCGATTGTGATTCTAGCTAATTCTGGTGACTTTGGAGGCTACTTCTGCCCATGTCACGGATCGCATTACGACGGCTCCGGTCGCATAAGAAAAGTAAGTTTTTTTGGCGACATCTTACTGTGTTTTATGCCCTTCCTTTTCTGTCCGATTACTTTCAGCTTTCTTGTATCACAAGCTGATCTATTTTTGTCACATGTTTGAAATGAAGTTTGAGAAATAAGTTCAGCCGCACTACTTCCGAAAAAAGAGGTAGTAGAAAAATAGCTCCGGGAGCGGCATGCTGGATTGAAAATTGAAGGGCAGATGCCGCTGCAGACGTGCAGCTACTGCTGTAATCCTGCCGCTGCAGCGACCGCAGTATGAATCAAAATGTGCGGTGATGTCTCTTCTCGTCAATTTGTCAAATTTTAGGGACCTGCACCACTAAATCTTCATGTTCCTGCATATTCGTTCAAGGACTCTACCATCGTAATCGGCTCTTCTTAATGACATCATTGATAAGCAGTTTTTTTACGTAGGAGTAGCTGATGTGCTCATGATTGCTCGAGTCGTGTGCTACTAATCTAGATGGATGTTTTACCTCTTATTTATGCCTCCTGATGATGTTTACCTCTGTGCAAGTGAGACTTTTGCAAAGCTCTGATATTGTGAGGTTTTATCACACATAAAACATTCGGTAATGTGCATGGCATACAAGATGTATACTTCACAGTGCTGATAGGTACAGCTCTCATAGAAAAGAAGAAATAAAGCTCCACTTCATCGATTATTGTTCAAGCGCAGTAGCGTCTAGGTTTGCATGCATCCACATTTGTAGTGGAAATTTTGGTTGTTAATGTCATTCTCCTGTTATATCTCGCTCATGTAAGCAATTGACACAGACAGTCAATAGCGGACGGGGTGGACTTTAGGCCCTGGCCAGACATCGCTCAAAAGCGCCCAAAAGCGCTCAAAAGCGCCCAAACTTCTCTAACCTCTCCTCACTCTCTCTCATCTCTCCTCACACGAGAAAGTAAAGAGACACCAGAGAAATTTGGGCGCTTTTGCGCGCTTTTGGGCGCTTTTGAGCGAAGTCTGGCCAGGGCCTTAGCGGAGCCGATAAGCGCCTCTGTCGGGAGTTTGTTCCTCACATGCTATGCATGAGTATATTCTGTCTCTGTAAGAATGTCACAGCTGCTGCAGGTCGAGCCCTCGCGGCCGCGTTCGGCCTTGTGCTGCGTTGACAAACTATCTTCGGACATCTTCTCAGCTTTGAGGGGTGAGGGAACTTATCCACCCAAAGACTTGCCGCAACATAGTCATGAACTGTCAGCAACGCTAATTAACACCTAATTAGCACCGTAAAAGAGCTGATTTTCTGCACACAATAGCCTTCCCTCATTCTGTAATAGTGATTCAAATTTCATTGAGATTTCGAACCCAAAGTTCAGTAGCGATTTTGGTCCGATTGGGATGACAATTTGTATTTAGGGGTATTCCGCAATGATGTTCGACTAAGCTTCTGGTTTTGCTCGAAAACTAACATCTCAGAAATTCATATTCAAGGACGGAGTCAATTTCAGAATTGACTGCTTAGTAAGATTCCATTCTTCATTTTTGGAGTACAAAGTAATAGTGGAACGTAATATTTAGTCGGATTCGGAATCAGCTAATTTGTTTTGAACTTAGCAGATTTTTACGTTTATTTCTCAATTTTTTCTTTGCACTGAATTCAATGAAAAAGGGAGGGGTGGCTCTTCCCTACCCCCCCCCCCTAGAGAATGGTCCCAAAATTTTTGATATCTACTTACATTGATTACAAAAATGTGCAAATGATTTGTTTATTCTTGTAAATTAATAGCAACTTTTTAAGGTTTCCAAAAAATTCAATTTAGCCTTGCAAAAAATTCATATAAAGATGCGTGGCTGCCGCCACCCCCCTTTTTCTAGATTTTAGGAGTTATGGGCCCGCAAAAGGTTTTGAGAAGCAAACCAAAAATTTCGGAGTGCGTAGCTAACGCCACGCACCCTTGTTTGGATAAAATTTGTACCTCTCTCATCTTCTCCGGACGGAAATCCTGGGACCGCCAATGATAACTTGCCTAATTTGCAGCGAAATTTTTGCCAAAAAATTGTACGATTTGAAAAAAAAAAGGAAATTGTGCATTAATAACTGGACGAAAATCTTATCTGAACATTTAGCTCGAGATTGCAATGAAATTCCGGCTATTTGCTGGATGAACGGGGCTACAGTATGCAAAAATCAGCTCTTTTAGGGTGCAAACGGGTGCTATTAGCGTTGCTCACAGTTCATGAACACTATAACTACATTTGGCAAGTATTCGGGTGAATGATTTCCCTTGCCCAGCCTTGAGCTGTTTCCGAGGCGTGCGAAAATGCCTGGTTGCAGTGGCGGACCGAAGAAATGGACCGCGAATTCCTTAACACGTTTCGGACCGCGAAATCGCGCGCGGCGAAAAAGAGTGCACTTTCAGCCGTTAGCCAACAAAGAGACCTTAATTCGTAGACTGTGTGCTACATTTGTAAACAGCATGTCGGATAAGATACATACCCAAAGTTCTGAGTGAATTCGAAGTATTTGAATTTTGCCGCTTCAGAAGGACTTCTGTGCTTTCCTGAAAGATAGGAACAACAACCCAGTTTCTAATACTATCCAAAAGTATCTATGTTGTACACAGGACCATCATTACTGAAACCATGATTTTTCTCTTTGAAATAGGAGCAAATAAAAGTTGCGACGTCGCACGCTTCGTTCGCGTTGCCGCACTTCGTTACGAGTGTTGTTCGATTTGCTTTCATATCTTCTAAACAAAAACCGTCGGCACAGCGGCCCCTGTCAGATTTTGGTAGTTTCGGGTAGTGGACCCCCCAGTTACACCGTAGCCCCAACCCCAACTTCCAGTTGATGCGCTAAGTCCTGAAAAAAGCGCTTCAAACTTCCACCAATAACGCCCACTCAATGGAAGTGGGCGGGGCTGATGGAGTTTTGAAGCGCTTTTTTCAGGACTTAGCGCATGAATTGGAATGTGGGGTTGGGGCTACGGTGTACTTGGGGGGTCCACTACCCGAAACTACCAAAATCTGACAGGGGTCCAATTTGCCTGTCCGCTGCCTTTAAAAGTGGCATACGCAAGTTCGTTCTTTTACCGATAAACAAGCAATATAGTTTCAGAATTCTTGAAAAAACAGATTAGCTTTGCAAGGAAGCCACGCCCGCTCTCCTCAAAAATTTTGCGGTTACAAATTGGGTAAGTTCTTCTAAAAGCTTTTTTTTCGCGCGTAAATTGTAAACCCGCGGAAGGAAGCATCTCGGAAACTCTTTCTACTATTCTATCTCTATTTTCTGCCTTTCGACATAGATACAGATTTACAGGTCAACAAAAACAATAAACTTGGAATCACATATAATCATATATAATCAATTACAAGTTTTTGTGAGCCTTTGCTGCAATTTAAATTTACATCAACGACTTTAGCCTCTGCGACGTCGTCATTTTTGAGCTTATGAGGAGTCATCTAAGGTGAGTCGCAGAGAATCAGTAAATTTCTTGTCAAATTGCCGAAATTGGTAATGTCTAATGACGTATGCAGATTTATTAGGGTGGAAAATGTACCCATTCTCAGCATCTATTCTACAAACTCGGACTATGACAGTGGGTTTCAAGCATTGTAGATTCAATGAGAATCTTGAGAGGGAAGGTCGTGAAGTAGTGGGCGAGTTTCACACAATGCACGCCATTACAAAGAGTTTGAACTGATTTTGGATCTTCCTTTCATATCTGTAAGCTTTTAAGGCAGTATGGGCGTTTTATCATCAAAATTTGCATGGTTTTGAGAGTGACTACAAATAATTGAACTCGTTCGATTTTTTTACAGAACATTGAAAAAGGGGCAACCTTACAACAAGCATGTTAAGCTTTACCAAGTAGCTTACATTCTAAATTGCGGTGTTCACTGGCTACTCCCAGCTTTGCATATCTTATATATAAAGCTGAATGTCTGTTTGTCTGTCTATCTGTATGTCTGTCTGTCTGTGTGTACGTATGTTCCGAATAGAAAATTCCATTTCTGAACCGATCGGGACCAAACTTAGCACACATACACTTCGGGCCCCGGCGGGTGTCATAGGCTACCCTCCTTTGTCAGATGTAAAAAGTCGAAAAGTCTTTTGTCAAATGATCGTTTCAAGCCGCCACAGTCCTCAAAGTTCCATCTCATCCGACAATCACTGGGCTCCGAGTTACAGGAATGACCTATCACAGTAACATGCGCTACCGCGATGTCATATTTTCATTGACTAAAGCATAAATTGCTGAAAAAGCATATGCTGGCTTGAATAACTATCTACAGAAAAAGTATCGATTCTGGCGAGCGAGCGCATTTCGTGAACGTTTGCATTCTGACCCATATTTACTTCTCTTGAATCCAAGAAAATTCTTCGCGGTTATTTCACAACACTGCAAAACATTCTGCATGTTCATGTCAATACCTGAAATATTTGTGCAACAAGAAACGTGCATTTAGCCTATCTACATGCATGCTATGTGGAAACTTCCCCTCTGAAGCCGTCTCCGTGCAGGCATCGTCTCATACACTTTTTAAATGACGAAAATCGTTCTATTAGTTTCAATCGCTGGCCAACGTCAAATGGTCATTTATAAACTGTAAACAATTCCATGCAAGAGTCTATAACGGGGGAAAATCCCCAGTTGTGATGACAAATGGACCTTTGAAGTTGCAGAATTTGTACAGGGTTCACGCATGAAATCCATCACTTCACTCTCAAAGCAACTTTTGAATGATATGTACCAAGTTGCAATTCTCTCAAAGCCCGATACTCTTGGTAAATCATGAAGATGACTCGAGGAATGTTCTGGCTGCCTACGTGCAGTCGCTTCTGAAGAAGAAAAACTTTGTCATCGATTACTTGGAGATTGTGTAGAAAAACTTGGCCTTCCTATATGCATATCGTGCGACCTTACTTAGAAATATTGACAAGTTCGGCTGGATTTTTTTTGCATATTCGATACTCTCCTTATTACTCAAGAGAATCCACCAATCTTAGATTATTCAAAGCTCGAGAATATCTTGACAATGTTCAAAATTTCTCTGTTCAAAGTTGAGTGAAACAGGGTTCAAAAGAAAGTAATGCGTAACGTTATTTTACGTGCCGTGTGTCATCTGTTGGTTTTCACGCAATTGCGGAAAAAATAGGTACTTGGTTTTGCGTTCACAAACCAAGTGAATGTGTCTAAACGTGTAAAGTAAACGTGTCTTTTTTGCAAACATGAAAACGGCACGTATGAAATTCTAGCGTTAATCACATATGCCTACACTTCTGAATACCCAACACGTTTCGCTGGTGATGTTAACACATGTTCTCACAAAGTTTCTTTCACCATTATTCTCTCGTTTTCTCTTGATGCGTTCGTTCTGCACTCCGTTTTGCACTCTTTTCTCCTGCAAAATTCAAAGATTCTTCTAAAGAAGCACTTCGAAACTTTGACTATTCACCCATAACGTCAAAGTTTCCCCTCAAGATGTAGAACTGAATTGACAAAGTTCAGAAAAATTGACACGCCTTCGCTTTTGTCTTATGTGATATGCCTGAGAACTGGCAAGCGAGTGTACCATCTAGAATCATGTTTTATTTCCACATTTTGGAACTGTCATATCCGCTTTGCTTATTTACTCCACGTTTACTGAAATATGGAGAAAAGAATGCGCTGGCGCCATTCTAGCAATTGATGAGTCAGAGATTTGTTATACGTGCCAATGCCAACATTTTCGATGTCGAATTGGCTTGCTCTGCCTGAGCCCCATTTTTTTTACCTCTTTTCACCTTCTCTTTTCCTTGCAACATCTTCAGTTACCGTCTAAAGCGCTGTCTGAGCATAATCTGCCTGGGAAAAGAGAGATTCCACCAAGTTTTCAAAGTATATCACATTTGCATTCTGAAGCTTGCTTCAAAGTGTACGCTTTATTCTTCACGGTGTGATGTAGCTCATCCAGTGAGGGTTACAGTCTGAGCAGTCGCATCGATGGCCAAAAAAATTGAAGATGATCGACTTTTGATGATCGTGCTGTCATTATTTGCATTTGAATTCGAAACATGAAATTAGCGAGAAGTCGAGTTTAGCTGCTCTTGCACAATGCCACAAAAATTTTACGAGTAAAGATTTCGGTATTTCTAACATTAAGAGAGCGATGAGCATCGATTTCTCGAACATTCACAGAAAAGGATTTGAGCATAAACTTTGACTTGTTTCAAAATGTTATCTGGAGTCTCTTCTTTCTAGAAGAGTAAAATAATTGTGCTTATTTGATCGCGCAGGCAAGACCTTTCCTCCATCTCTTTCTATGTCTAGGCTGTATATATAAATGATGTCGTTTACTAGGTTTTTGAGAGTTCAGTGGCAACTTTTCCAAAATCAGGGCTCGGCACGAGGTGGCTTATAAGCAAGCTGGATATCGTTTTTGGGACGAAAAGCAAAGGGGGTTTCGTTTTTGTGACCGAAGACACACGCAAAATTGGCGATTTGGCGACGTTTTTTTTAGTCGACGTTTCGTTTTTTGAGGATTTTTAGGGAATATTTGGGGGGGGGGGGGGGTCAAAGGGGACTTCGTAAAAATACCCAAAAGTCAAGGGGGACTTCGTTTTTTGCATTTTCATCTAGCCACCTCGTGCCGAGCCCTGTCCAAAATGCATCATCACATGTTTTCGATGCCTTTGTTGTAGTTGATGCTGATAAGAGGAGCTCTTCATAGCAGCACCTTGGTTTTTCATGAGGGCTATGTCTTCATTTGAAATGAAAACCGAAGTAAATTCCAGCATTACAGATTTATGCTTTATGAACCACATTTCTAATGTAAGAAGCACTACACATCATCTCATTGCTGGGTTCGTCATCGAGAAAAGGACAAGAAGTTGATGCTGTCTTATCATTTCCTGAAACTATGAGTTTTTGTAGAGACATTCATAAGCACAATGTTTCTCAATTCAGATAGAAAAACTATCTCAAACAAGTTATATTACTGACGAGGTCATCAACATTGCACTAGGAAAATTGTAAATCTATAGTTTTCATTCAAAAACTTGAACTTGAGGATACTTCAAACCTGTGAGGTGTATGCCTATCAAGGTGCTGTTGAGGGCTTCCTTTTTCTACTAAACATTTGATCATAATGCGCGAAGTAACTGGAATGATTCTCAAAACTATTAGTGATCGGAACTTTCTGGACGACCTAATATACGTAGATAGTTCTCATGATCCATTTTTCGGTCATCAAAATAAATCTTTGTTCTGGGACAGTAACTGTAAATCCCTCCAATTAAAATGAGAAATTCTCACACTCATCCCCGTGAAAAATTCACGACAGCCACTTGTTTGTTTGTGTGGAAAATATTTGTTATTTCTATCTTGAGAAGGAAGGATACAAGATTTACGCTCACGATTTGTGAAGTGATCTGTGAAGAGATGTCGCAGATTCGATTCCCTTGAAGTAAAATCCGCAAAACCCCTCGTGCCTTCTCAGAGTGGTCGTTTAGCAGATTCAAAACGTCCCCGAGAACGAGTCACAAAAGTTTTGAAAGTAGACTTATATAGTACGCGCTATAATATCTGCAAATGACTTCTGCACTTGTAGCTAGGTAGGAAATCTCTAAAAATTTCTACGATGGATGCTGGCTGGTCACTCTCCCTTAGAACGGCCTTTGAAAATTCTGATTATTTTTTCAAGGAATCCAAGAGCGTGGCTAGGCTCATGTCTCTTCATTCAAATAGTTTATATCTCTATTGGGTTTTGCCTTTCAAACTTTCTTTACCAGAACCTTCCCATATAAGCTGCAAGCATCTACTCCTTGAGTACAATGACAGATTAGCGGTCTCCATCCAATTGAACCGCGTCGGTGGAAGTTTGCAAATTTTCTAGCTCGGAAAGGACGATTCCAAAGCAAATGATCGAGTGAGCTTTAAGGGCATCACAGGCTCTTCAAAGCCAAAAAATCGAGAATAATTCACCGTCAAGTAATTTCTCCGACTTCATGCCATCCGAGAACAAGCTTCAGGTGCTAGCCGCCTGTAGCCGGAAGATTTTAATCGTTGGAAGTAGTAGACTGTGTTCGTACATCAAACACTTTACTGCTGATTTCAGGTTAGAAAGGGAAGCGCGTAACAGCCATATTCACCACTCACCTTGCAGCGGAGCGGAAATGGTACGTGTTTGTAATCTCTTAATTTCTCTTAATAGTCATTGTACAACAGTGAGTAACACAGTTCAGTGCGTTGAACACTACACTGTGTAATACTTTGCCTAAGTAATGCTTTTCTTTTTGTTAATAAAGCGCCAATCGTGCTTGTCGCATTTCGTCCACTTCCAGGCGTCATCTCTTCGTGTCTGCCAAAAGCTACCCTCAAGCCTTGCAAATGGAATTGTCAACGGTTGGTTGAAAGTTTCGGTTGCTTCTGACCATTCACACAATGTTAGCAACTAGAGTTCATGATGTTTTCCTGTAAAGCTATTTACGTCATTATACTCAGTTTGCAATGAAAAGACTAGAATAACTTACTGTATGTTCTCTCAGAAGCAACCACACAGGAAAAATTTCCGTGTTGGGTACAAAGTCTTATGTCAATCCGAAATTCCTATCTGTTTTCATATCTCTTCTTTCAATATCTAACTCTAGATGAAAAACGTATTTTGGAACATAACGTTAACTGAAAGCGCTTCTGTCAAGTTTTTCAAATCATTATCCATTTCCAGGAGCTTTGGATCTGTAACTGTATATCTCTAGAGAGCACGAAGACCAAAGACAAAATGCGAAGTTTGAAATTATGAAAACAGATACATCGTTTGCTGGGGACTTTTATTAGAATGCTGATCGGGTCATGATTTTGAAGAACTGGAACGAGAATATAAACTCAAAAATTTTCTCCGAGAATGACCTGTCGTTGTAGTTCTTAGGAGTGGCATGAATTATAGTCGCATTGGAACACATAATTCCCTTCATACGAAGTTGACCTGAAACATTCGATTTAGAAAACGGAAATTTTCTTCCAATTTTCACCGAGGAAAGAATTTGAAAATCAAAAGAGGCCGCTACTCCAAAAAGCGCGAGACGGATGGGTTCTTTAGAATTTTCCGCTATTGCTGCAGCAGCTTTCGCAGTACGTATACTACCGGCAAAAAGTTGTGGATGTTTATAATTCATTAACGCAAAGATGATTTCTGAAAAGAGTACAGTATATAAAGGATGGAATTCATGAAACGAGCAAAACTTTTGAAGCGTCATGCTATTGCGTATCTTGAACGGTACAAAAATATACAAGCATGTTTCTTTCGACCTTTTGATTCGACTACTCAATTCAAACTTTTTTCTTGGTGTAAACGCTCAAAGCGGAGAAATTTTCAAAAAATCATATAGATATGGATTGAAATGAAATGTTTTTGGAATCTTAGGAGTGTGCGCAAAGTTTCATGGGACATAGCAATGAACTTCATTGCGAGAACTCGAGAAAAAGAAAGAAAAAGATTGTTCTTTTCTTAAATTTCTCAGTGCAGACGCAAACGACATCTTCAAACTTGAGTAAGGTTTTCGCACAACGTCCATGAATCCTAACCAAGTGCAATTTATTTCAACTGAACGAGGCATTTTTTTTATTTGTGGTAATCTACGACTAGTGGGGACGGACATACTGAATGTACAGCAAGCCAACAATTTTCGAAAAAATGCTCGAGAAAAACTGTGAAAATGTTCGGTAACAAGTGCTAAACCTTCTTCGCTTGTATGCGATGTACTTCACTGTACCATGGTTAATCCACATGCGGATGCCTTCGATGAAAGAGAGGACGATTTTGCGGAGAAGCGCTAGGGAAAAAATTTTTTGGCTAGCATTTGGACATCCACCGATAATTTCAGTCCCCTTTTGGTGATTCTTGCTCTTATTGATGTTCGAAGGCAGTGTCTTGATCAAGTTTTGGGTCAAATTTTGTTTCATCCTAGTGGCACTGGCTCCGCACCTGAGCACTATTTTCAACAGCAAATCGGATGTTTGTTCTAACAAGCTATGAACACGCTTTCTGTCAACCTTGAAAAACAAACAAAAATAACGATGAACTTGAAAGTAGGCCAACATTTTTTTGAATCAAAAGTTGGAGAGAAGGCGAGGTGCCGTATGCTCTTTCCTCGGCCATGGTATTTTTGACCTGTGAGGCAAGTAGTTTAGTATCAGACCGAATCCCTTGTCAGTAGGAGACTTTTTTCCCTAAAGCTCGTTGCTATCATAACGACGTTCTAGCCCATGCGAGGCGCCTTGTTCACACCGACATCAAGTTCCCTGATATGTCTCAATTTCGACGCGATTCAACGTTGGATATCAACAAAGCCGCTCGAGAATCTGAAGATGAACGTCGTGCTTTTACACATTCTATATTGTACGGAGGTAAACGTTATCTTTTCTCCTTTTCACTACTTGGAAATCTGCTTTGTCATAGAGTGAATGACATATGCCTTAGCTGGCGGTGCGATTTCATTATGGGCTGGGAAAGAGATGCTTCAGACGATGGTGTATTACAAGGTAAAGATTTTGCCTTTTAAGCCAAATAGAGCTATTTGCTACAATTGTTACGTAAATTGCATGCCACGGAAAGGAAATAAAGGCATAGACAAACAGTTTGAGAAAGTGACTTTTTATTGCGGAGCATTTATAACAAACTTTCGCAGTTTCAGTTTATAATTGCCTTACTGTTGGATGGATGTAAGCATTTTTTGAAACTAGTGTTTGTATTCGTACACCGATGACGGTTCCAGATTTAGGTTTGGGAGGGGGAGGAGCGAAGAATTTTGTTCTAGAGAAGGGGTGGGGCTATCCATGCACTAGAAATTTTGGTGTACTGAAATTTTCGAACCCATAACCTCGACATCTTAGAAAACATAGGCAGGCAGCTATACCCCGCTGAAAATTTTCTTTACAACGATAAATTAACTTTTTAGAAATTTTTTGAAATACTTCAATTGAAACAAGTATAAACAAGACACTTGCACATTTTTATAACTCATGCAAGTTACTTCAAAATATTTTGCGACCCATTCTCGGGATTCTCGGGATGGGTGACCTGCTCTCCCCTCGGTCCGCTACTGTAGTATACTTCAATATTCGCCAACTTCAGAACATGCCTGCTGATACGTTGGCAATTGCTACCACTCAAATAGACACCAGTGAAATCCCAGAAGGAGAAACGAGACGGTACAATTTTCAAGGAAAACCTGTCTTTGTGAGGCATCGCACACAGGAGGAGATCGCAAAGTAACAAGATTATGGTTATGGAAACCTGCCAATGTGCAATTTTTTTTTCAACTTCCGCTAGAGACAGACACGAAAGTGGTAACTGTGATGCTTCGCTTTTAATGAGAAATGCAAAGAAATATCTAAATGAACATTCCCAGTTACACCGAAGCTGCAGTACAAAGCCTAAGCATGATCTTGCACAAGCTTGAAAGAGAGATTTGATTTTTGACAAATGGTATATAATGGCTCGTTTTTAAGGCACACAATAGGCCCAACTATATGTTACCAAAATCAGGACGCGCTTGAGGAGGAATAGGAACATAGCACGAAAATGAGAAAGTTTGAAAATGCACAACTTTCTTCTGAATTAGAGGGCGAGGGGGGGGGGGGAAGAGGAGCAATTCTGCACAAGGCCCAATTGTGTTTTTGATTTACCGTTAGTCGGTTCAGCCGTAGAAAATTCACACCCAAACCGCTTTGTCACCCTCTTGCTGATCTCTGTATAACTTACATTTTAGAGTGTGCTTCTGACTCCAGGAAGTGATGAGTACTGAGCAAAGTTTTTTCCAGAGAAAAGGATGTGAACATAGCTAATCTGCGTCATCCGGAGCGCGACGACGAGCGTGTGCAAAGAGCCGGATGGTCTGTAGTGATGGGAATCTGCCCTCATCTAGGATGCGTACCGATACGTTCGTAACTCTGGAATTCAATTTGAATGGAAAGTTGATATGCTCCTTCACATTTGCTAAGTTTCACCGCTGGTTTCGAAGTCGCACGAAATCTAGGCAATAGAGTAAGCAACGCAGGTATAATACCAAAGCATGCAAAGGGAGAAAGTAAGTGTTCTTGAACTCGTAAAGAAGAGAATTGAGAATTGCTAATGTAAGTATTACTTATGGCAGATAGTTGCAGAAATGAAACAAAAACTACTTGGGAAGCAATACCCCACTAAACTTGGGAAAATTCGAAATTTTGAATCAAATGAATGAATATCGAATAAATTCGAAAGTGAAAATTTTCGAATAAACAAATGTCGAATAAATTCGAAAATAAAAAACCTCGAATAAACGAATATCGAATAATTTCGAAAATTAAAAATCTCAAATGAATGAACCCCGAATAAGACCGGAAATTCAAAATACCGACTGAATGAATATCGAATATATTCGAACATTGAGAATCGAATTTCGAATAGATATTCGAATGATTTTCGAGTAACTAGGGCAACCATATCTAAAACTTGCTGTACCTGGCTAAAGCTGATTCATTCATAATCAGCACCCTCATATCCCCTATATTAATTCCTAGCTTAAGATTTTCCAAAAATCGGTGGAATCATAAAGTAGATTTGATTTTTAATCAACACCCTCATTTATCTCCTCCTCCCTCCCCTGCAGGGAGGAGGGGATTCATTATCTCTATAATAATGAAACTCAAAAATTATCAGTTTGGAGGGTATGCGCGTTCTAGAAACGCGCCTCTCACCGAATCAGGTGAGACTTTGCACACATACAGTGACCGCCAAAAAGTTGCGGACAAGCTTCCCTCCCTTTTTCATCGCTCTTTTTCAGAGAGAAAACAAGGAAAAAATGTAATAATTGTATGAGGTGATAGAGCTCTTCAAGATCTACAATCTAAACTTTAAGTTTTTTGAGAAACATGTGTTCTAAAATTTTAGGAATCTTTTTCTAAAGAAAGTCCGAAAATGGCCGCGTTACAATGTCGCGGACAATAATTCTTCGAACGCAAAAATTTTCTTTTGAGTCCTATTTTGAAGCGGAAACACAAGTTATCCGGACGGGTAAGCATATTACTATACGGAGCTCGTCAAGAACTACACACTGGTTGTGGTTGCTTCCCCAGAAATCGCAAGCTTGAGTTTTATTTTAGTTTTTTCAAAAAAACAACTTCTAATTTCCTTCATCAAGTCAAATTTCTTCACGCGAAAACCTGTTCAAGACATCCCAACAAAGCCGTCTGGATAAAATAGATGCTCTTTGCCATCCTCTATGCATCGGACGTGTGCTGATGAGTTTCTTGGCTGAAAATGGTCCTTGGTAGTGCTTGCACATGACCCCACCTGCACTTCACCACTGACTTGTACCGCTTTGCAGGCTTGTAACTCGGCCTGCAGTCAATATTTGAGCCTGCAATTAGGCTCGTTTGAAAGAACAAGACTTCCTCGAGGGCAGCTTCAGTTGTAGTCTAAGCACTTTTCAGCTAAAGATGAATAGATCTCCTTTCGCCACCAATTTTATCCTGAAAGTTCAAAACTGTCAATTTTCTTGCAATAGATCCATTTCGAAGCTCTAAGACTGTTCTGGTGTTTATGAGAGCTTTCACTCCAATCACCTCTAAGAATGCACTTTTTCACCCCAACCCGCCAAATCTCTGAAATTTCTCAAACTCAACTCATTTGCATATCATCGTCTCCAGGAACTCACGCTCTTTCGAATGAGTCTACCTGCAGACTCTTATAGTGTCTGGCGGCCGAGTTACAAGCCTGCAAAGCGGTACAAGTCAGTGGTGAGGTGCAGGTGGGGTCATGTGCAAGCACTGCCAAGGGCGATTTTCAGCAAAGAAACTCATCAGCTCACGTCCGATGCGTAGAGCATGGCAAAAAGCATTTATTTTATCCAAACGGCTTTGTTGGGATGTTGTCTTGAATAGGTTTCCGTGTGAAGAAATTTGGCTTGATAAAGGAAATTAGAAGGTGTTTTTTGAAAAAACTTAAATAAAACTCAAGCTTGCGTTTTCTGGGGAAGCAACCACAACCAGTGTGTAGTTCTTGACGAGCTCTGGATAGTAGTATGCTTACCCGTCTGGATAACTTGTGTTTCCGCTTTAAAATAGGACTCAAAAGAAAATTTTTGCGTTCGAAGAAGTATTGTCCGCGATATTGTGACGCGGCCATTTTCGGACTTTTTTTAGAAAAAGATTCTTAAAATTTTTAGAACACATGTTTCTCAAAAAACTCAAAGTGTAGATTGTAGATCTTGAAGAGCTCTATCACCACTTGCAATTATTACATTTTTTCATCCTTGTTTTCCCTCTGAAAAAGAGCGATGAAAAAGGGAGAGGGATTTGTCCGCAAGTTTTTGGCGGTCACTGTATATGCGTGCAAAGTCTCACCCTTGTAGCTCAGAGGCAGAGGTAGCTGTCAACACGAGTTTTACAAGCAAGAGTGCCACTAGTGTGGACCTTTTCGTACCAAAAACATGAACAACGGAAAGGAAGAGTAAAAGGTTTGTCAACATACTTCCACTATATGAACTCGGAACATGAGCTTGAATTTGATAGCTGGTTTTTTTGCTGTTTTGGTGCCAATAGCAGTGCCAACTATTTCATTGATCGAGAAAGCATCCATAAAAATCCACACCTATTAGGTTGGCTCGAAAGTTCTCGGACATTTTTAGACGAGATCTGCTAATTCTCGAAACTTATTGCATGTACATCTGAAAAAGGTACCATTCGATAGAGCAAAGCAAGCTCTACAAGATTGTATGCAAAAGCTCGCACCAGCTTCGAGCCAGCGTATGTTTGAATTCAGAATCAGAGTCATACTGAAGGCTCGGAAACTTGGGGAAAATTCATATCTTCGTTCAAAAAAATCCCACGGATCTCCAACTTGCTCAAGCAAATTGCACACCACATCAGACACACATATGTGTCATTGCTGTAATTATTCCCGTATAGAAACCGAGAATACGTAAATTTTCGTTCTCATACAAAAATGAAGCTGTGCTGTTTCCACTCATGTAGTTGTATACTACAAGTCTTAACTAGTCTAGTCTTAGTCTTAGTCTTAAGTATAACCGTAAAATTTTAGCTTTCCCCAATCCCTAGTTCAAAAAATAGCGATTTTAGCATGGAACATCCGAGTAAGGAGACATTTCGGTAATTTTCAGAACTAGGGCCTGTAGAAAGCTGAAAGTTTGCGGTAATACTTCTAATGGCTGGTACTATACAAGTACATGAGTGGGAACGGCGTAGCTTTCTGTATGAACAGAGGTACTTTCGTTTCCTCGATTCCCGGATGAAGAAAAAATATACATGAACGGCACGTATGAGTGTCTGATGTGGTGTGCAATTTGCTTGAGCAACTTGGAGGTCCATAAAAATTTTTTGAACGAAGATATGAATTTTTCCCAATTCTTCGAGCCTTTAGTACGACTCTGATCCTGGATGCAAACATAAGCTGGCTCGAAGCTGGTGCGAGCTTTTGCATACCATCTTGTAGAGCTTGCTTTGCTCTATCGAACGGTACCTCTGTCGAGTGCATATGCATTAAGTTTCAAAAACAGCAGATCTCATCTGAAATGTTCGGGAACTTTTGAACAACCTAATATTTTTTACTGTCGCAAGCAGGTTGGAGGAACGCGAGTTTCCATGCAGTTCAAAGCTGATCACGGGCAAAAAAGTTTTGCGAAAAAAATGCAGACGAAGCCAGCTTGATAAACTCAAATAACTTGAATGCGAATTCGCATAAAACTTTCGAATAAAATCTATTCGAAACCCCGTTTTTGATTATTCGAGTTTTCGAATTCTATCCGAAACCCTGGTTTTTGATTATTCGAGTTTCGAATTTTATTCGAAATCCCTTTTTCTCAGTTATTCGCGTTTCGAATATTATTCGAAAATGGAAAACCTTCGAATTTCCAATTCGAATATATTCGAATGTTTTTATTCGAATGATCGAATATCTATTTGATTCGGACCCAGTATAAATTCTCAGGTTTTAGTCGCTCTTACGATTGGATCAGAGTAATTGGCTTTAGCAGAGAGAAAAAACAAGCATGAAGTGATATAGAAGCAAACTTTCCGATTGTCTCTATCACACTTTGTGCATTTCTTCCATCCGTGATTCCCAACCATAATTTGCATATTCGCAGCCTCTTACAGGGGAAGGATACTTGGATGCCGTGGCCATTCATAATGATTTGTAAACCAAAAAATGCGCCTTTGAATGCTGGTTCGTAAGCTGTCTTTCATATCTGCGAAACGATAACCTGAATGGAGTTATGATTTTTTTTTCATTAGATAATTGCGTTACTGTAGAGGGTCAAAATCATCAATAAAAAATTTTCTCTCCTTTTCAACTGCTGAATGTGATTCTGATAGTCTAAATAAACAGTACTACGTCTAAAATTTTCTTCAGTAGCATCAAACGATAGGGTAGATCATATCTGGTGATTTCTACTATCCGAAAGTAGGCTAAATTTTTGAGAAAAAAAGTTCATAACTTCCTTCAAAAAGTCGTTTCGCAGATTCCGAGCACAAATTCAGAATCAGCATTTCGAGGTGCATTTTATGGTATACATTGCATTTCAAACAGCCACGGCATCCAAGTATCCTTTCCTTGTTAGTGATCTAGCTGCGCTTTTAGTCAGATGTTTGAGCGAAATGTAGTGGGAGTAGCCTCAGCTTTCGGTCACCGTCAACTCAAACCAGTCATTTCTGCGAAGTATTAGGTTGTCCCGAAAGTTTTGTCGGTTTCTTTCATCGCTCACTAAAACTCACAGAACACCAATCCATGGTCAGCTAGGTACCATTTGATTCAGATTTTTATCCTCTTTCATACAAGTATATTTCCTCTCTGATCTACCCTGTCTTTGCATTATATTCATTTTAGATTACATGGGCCAGGTTTACCAAGTTCGTTATAATCAATTATTTATTAAAAACCGCGAGTTTTTGATTACGTTTACCACGTAAAAGTGTCGAAAATTCCAAAAAGCTGCTTTTTCAAGGCAAATCAAACTTGGTCATGTTGCATAAATAATATTTGATAAGAATCATTTTTCAATTCGCAGAAACTTTGAAAACTTCCGTGTATTTGCTGCAGTTGCGTGTTTCATGACTTTGCTAAATTCAAGACCTCTTGAGAAATAATTTTTTTCAAGCTAAAAATAGCAGATTAGGAGAATCTAAAAATATATCCTTGTAGCCCGAGAGTTGCCCTATTAGAATCATACTTAACCATTTTAGAAACTTTAAAATGAAAGTTGTAAGAATTGGCCGAACTTCGAGCAGATAAAATTGGCGGATGGAGAATTTTAACAAATATCGAAAAAAGCATACAGATTGTGGCTCGAGAATGTATCCATAAGAAAGCTAAGGAAAGGCTGCATCGAATGCATGTTGAAACTCATTCATTATTGTGCATGGTTTTATAGTAGTTTGAAAAACCGACAAAACTTTCGAGACAACCTAATATTCCATGACATTGCTTTATTTCTTACTGATGCTATCTGTTCAGCGAATGCAGGTGATTATAATGGCTACTTCTGTCCATGCCATGGAGGCCACTTTGATACATCTGGTCGCATAAGGAAGGTGAGTCACACTTTTACCAGGAAAAGAACAGTGATCGTAACGTATCGTAACAAACGTAAGCCGTTTTCCTTTGCAGGGACCATCCCCGTTAAATCTTGAAGTTCCTAAGTATAGCTTCGATGGAAACATCATCAAACTTGGCTGAGTTTTCGAAGGTAATACTGTCATTCATCTGCATGGGACATTAGTCAATATGCTGTTCTAATATGGTGTTGTAGATAATCAATTTCTTGAACCACCAGTGTTAATTCGAGCATTTCTTTGGTTCTTTAAGGGACTGTTCCGCTCGTGTATTCAGACACGCTTGAGTGAATGTGTATAAAATTTAGCCTGAATGTACATATCAGCAAAGTCCATATATCGTATTGATGTTAGCTCTCGTCTGTATGAGTTGTTTATTAGAATTCGCACGAAAGTTTTATTAACTCTCTGAAGATACGAATGAAGAACATAAATGTTTATGTGTTAACGTAAAAAGTGACTGTTTCTTTACAAGGCATATTGTTTTGTTTCTTTATCTTTCAGTCTAAATTTGAATTTTTATACCAAGTAACAACAGCTTGATCACAGGGTAAGCACCGCATCAAAGGAAATGTGAATTTTTTCAGCAGAACATGAGAATAATGGGCAAATAGAAATAGGGGAGATCATTGATAATGTGCCCAGACATATGAGTTGAGCTGTCCGTATGTGGGGAGTTATTCAAAATAGATAATCAATCATGATTTTGAAAACTGCAACCAAACAGGTCTATCACGCAGTGTATGTTATAGGTGAACTACCTATCTGAGAACTTTGATGAAAACCAATGTCTCGTTTGGCGATAGTAGGGTTGAAATATTTATTAACAAGATGAATCCAGTTTTGGACCGGGAAAGCAACATCTAATGCAATCAAAAGCTTCTTATATAGGTAGTCTAATACAATCGGTAGCCTCTTACATAGGTAGTAAGGCTGAGCTCACGCTTGCACGATCAAGCTGTATGAGGAAGTAATAGAATATAAATGCAGGATGAAGCGGATTGGCACGGCCCCTGGAAGATAGGTGCCACTCATTGGTGAGTAATTTGACACTTCAACATGAGCGGTTGGGGAATATAGCTTATGGGAATAGTTTGGATCTTGTTGATGATACACAAATCATCAACAAGATACAAACTTGTACTATTGGGAAATTCTTAATCATTTACTGCTATTGACATCCTTCGGGAAGCACGGGGTGTTCAAGCGAATGACACAACTCTACAGAACACAGCTGTGAGGACTCACTGCCATTGGTTGCACTGTCTAAGCTCGGCAGCTGTACGATGGGAAGTATTCATGTGTAATCTGGCACTGCTTTAATGAAGCATTAAGTGATCATATATGGCTATGATCGCAGCAGTGGCCCACTTTTGAAATTTCTTCCAAAGTCCTATTTTACCCATTGGTGACGACCACCTCTTTATTCAATGTTACGTTTAATCAGGGAATAAACCTCGTTTGGAATGAAGCTATAGAACACATCATCTAATTTCAGTAAATATCCTCTTTAACATACCGCTGTCAACTCTTTCATGTGACGCAAATGCTTTCAGTATCTTGGCTTGCCTGCACCTCAGGAGATCATCCGACAAAGCCATTTTGCAATTGACGTTGGCTATCAGTCGCTCGAGATGGGCTGCATTTAGGTACCTCAAAGATTTTCCTTTTCAAGCAATTGTTTGGTTGTCTTCAAGATGCCTTTGAGTTCTTTTTAGAGAACATTGAGGCGCATTTCCCGCAGGCTCGCAATCCGATCGTATACGTTGGTTCTCGATGGGGCAGTGGCATCTAGTTGTGAGATCCTCCAGCCTGTGACGTCATAAACGACTTCTTTCCTTTTTGCGACACAGTGGCAGAACTTCTCTCGAGCTTCCGACTGAGTCGTGCATCCGCTCGAGGGAGGCGATGATCGGAGCCATTGCAGAAGACGGACCCCTCCTTCGATTGATGAAGATGGTCAACTTCTGCATGAATCGCTGCGCTGGACAATTCCCATGTTCGCGATTTTCATAACTGTTCTTTTTGAAGAAAATGAAAGTCTTACGGCGGAGAGAAGCCCGACGACACAACTGCCGTTGAAGGCACCACTCCCAAAATGGGTCCATGAAATTTCGATGTCTAACAGTTGCGGGGCCCCCAACTCTATAACTGCCCATCGCGCTGTCTAAAGTTACTTCCGAGGCGAGAAAATCGCTTTGAAAATCCTTTGGAAGACGGGTGCGCCACTTTGGCTTCTCCCTAACAAGTGAGCGGTACGTTCGTCCCGCCCAGTCAGTGATTTCGCCTAGCAGGCGCAAAGCTCAAGAAATCGATTGAATCATGCGAGAGAGTAAGTCTCTGCCGCGCGATGGGTCCGCAACGGGCCCGCGGCTTAACGGCAGATGCAAGGAGTGCTCGTCTACTGCGGGTTCTGGAAGGCATCCAAAACTCAATATTTTGAGACTTTCATTCAATTTCAAGTCTGGATTCGGACTCAGCGGGCGCAGGAGGTGCTAAAAAGGGCAAAAACTAAAAATGGAGGATTTGGGTGGACGGTGCCTTCAAACCGGAGCCCATTTCCGAACTGTATAAAAACCAGACTAAAGCAACATTCCCGTGTTCCTGGCACTTTTTGTTTCTACAGCAACAAATAGAAATTCTGTAGGACTTCTTGGGGCTGAAAAACATCTTTAACTGGCTTTCCTATGTAAACATTTTTTTATTCCAACCTTCAAATTTGTGAAGCAGAGTTCCTGCGGATGTCTGATGGCATCATATTTTGGTTTTTTTACCAGTAGTAATTTAGTCCGCAGCTGAGAGAACTAAGTTAGCGAGATACGTTAAGATAGACAAATGTTTCGAGAACTCTGGGTCGGTAGTAAATCTGTCGGAAGGCGCAGAACAAACACGGAGTAACTCGGAGTCAACTCCCAAACCCTCTGAACGGGTACTTGAACAAATCGAATTTGGGACACGATATATGGCAGGATACTCAACAATATCCCAAGCAGAGAAAACCAAGTTATTTAACACAGAAGCTACATCACCAAACGCGCAGTTGAAGTCGGCATTAACTCTGAGTTTGGTGCGTGTTTTTGCTGGGAGATTTAGAGTTGAATCCGAGTCTGGCTAGAGAAAGAATAGTTTGCAAAAGAAGAGAAGCAGCTAAAATGTCCTTCAGGGTACAATTTGTCCGTATCTTCAGCAAGATTGTTGGGGTTGTGTTGGTGCATTGTTTTTCACAGAGTCAAAAAATTTTTTACCTGAAATTATCGCTCCAGGGATTATTCGGTCCGCAGATGTTATTCGGTCTCACGAATACCATACTAAATTTCCATTATGGGACCTTAAAGGCACCGTCCGCCCTAAGTTGATAGTCTTGAGCTTTTGGCAGCATATGATATTGAGACCCATCAAGCCAATGCCCAGGTCGCGAAATGTCGTTTCGGAAGCGAGAAAATCGCTCCAGAATAACGAAGGCACGAGACCCCCAGACAGCACCGCCCTGCCCATCCGCGCGCCCATCCGGGCGCCCCCATCTGATCACCGTTCCGTACAGGTCTGCGTGTTCTCCGGAACCGACATTGTTGGGGTTTTTGCGGATTTTCGACTTCATATTCGGAATCAGGGACATGAGAAAACTCAGGAACGACTAAAAGTCGAGAATCTGGGTGGAGGTGCCTTTAAGCCCGAGCTGCGGTAAGTTTATGGCAGCCGGGTGAGTATTACGCGATTGATCGAAACTTGCTTCGGTGGGTTCATTAATACGCTAGCTCCGGAGGTTCATTGATACGCTATTTCCGAATATGATACTTGTTTTTCACCACGGGGTCATATAAAGAGCTACGGTAGGTTTAGGGTAGACGGATTGAACTCACCAAATAGAAACTTGGTCCGAGGTTATCCGGCGCTGATCACGATTATGGTATGGTATCGCAGCAATGTCATTAAGCCGGATTCCGGTAAGATTATTGTATTCAAGTCAAAATCACATATGAGGTTTTGAGTATTAATTGACTATCCATTATAATAAACTCATGAATAGTCCGTCGGGTTCATCGAGCGCGCCGACACCATTATACCACCTTTTTTCAAGGTATAATAGACGTCATCCGTCTAGTCACCTCGGTGCGATGTGTGTGTTACTGCACACAATTTTGAATACTCGGATGAGGTGCTGGGCTCCGGCCGTGCCGTATTGCACCAAATGCGCATACGGCTAAAATACGACGCCAAACTGCCGGTTTTTTCTGATTTTTTTTGTTTTTAGGTGCATGCACGGCCTAGTTTCCAATGATTTGTTACCTTTACACTCGTGCATTGCCGTTTTAGATCGGATATCTCAAAAATTACTTCTGCTTCCAGGTAAGGGAGGCACATGGACAACCTTGCAAGATTATGAAGTAAGCGTGCTTTGCGATGCTGAGTAAGATCCATGAATTCACAAACATCGCATTAACAGCAAATTTCTGCTGGAAACAATCCTTTGTTTGAAAACAGCTCTCACTGAAAACAAAAAACCAGGATGTTCGATAACAATCGAAAAGAAGTTGAAACTCGTATTGTTTAAGAGACACTCTATTCTTTCTACAGACGACAATACTGAAAAGCACACTTACTTCACAATCCTGCAAGAGCCCTGTGCCTCCCTTACCCTTACCTGGTTTGTTACCTATGGTAACAAACCATTGAAAACTAGACCATGCATGCAGCTAAAAACAAATAAAAACATCAAAATAAAAAAACGGGCAGTTTGGCATCGAATTTTAGCCGTATGCGCACTTGGTGCAAGTACAGACGGCGGGAGCCCAGCACCTCATCGGGGATTTCAAAGTTGTGTGCACTAACACACATCGCACCAAGGTGACTAGACGGATGACGTCTACTACAGCTGGGTTAAGTACATATACGGTATAGCCAACATCAGAGTTAAACAAACTCACGTGATTTTATTCCACATAAGGATCACGAATATCACAGCTGTTTCAACAAAAAATATATTCTCAGAGAGTTACGGTAGATAAACGGTAGGAGTCAGAATCCCAAATTCGCTCTTTTATCATGGAGGGTTACACAGCATGCTGATTACAGATCCAGTATTGCTTTTTACTGCACAGCCATGCAATAGAATTATCTCAGAGAGTTACGGTAGTAGGTAGGTACAATAGATTTCGCAAAACTCGTCGATGTGACTGCCGTAATGCACTGATGTTTCCGAGGCATTTTTCATGATGAATTGTCGGTTGACCTTTAAAAAATCTAATTGATT